TACCGCCGGCCCCGATGGGACAGCATCCTAGGATTAACTTGAACTACGTCTGCTTTGATTTGATACTAGACTGATTTAGATCTGTTGGGTTGGGACGTGAGTTCGATTCCACTTAAGGCTGATACTTTTTTTTTTTTTTTTTTTTTTATATGAGACGTGTTTTCAACTTCAGGCTGATACATTTTTTTTTTTTTTTATTTATGAGATGTGGTTTCAGCTTCAGGCTGATACATTTTTTTTTTTTTTATGATTATGGTTTAACTTTTCTGAACTTTGAGATGCGAGTTTGTATAACTTTAAGACATGGGTTCGATTCCCACTTTGGTTATTTTTTTTATGACGTAATAAATACGTTAAAGAAAAAGTAAATTCCTAGGAAGGGACATTTTTGGTGGGACATATCGTTCTAACCCCATAAGAGTTCGATTGCAATCTTGGCTTTTTTCTTTATTTATGAAAAAAGTGTATTTATGTTATAATTCGTATTGTATGTCTGTTTGTGTTCAACTAAACTTCAACTAACAACGGCCCCGATGGGACAGCATCCTAGGATTAACTTGAACTACGTCTGCTTTGATTTGATACTAGACTGATTTAGATCTGTTGGGTTGGGACGTGAGTTCGATTCCACTTAAGGCTGTTACTTTTTTTTTTTTTTTTTTTTTTTTTTATATGAGACGTGTTTTCAACTTCAGGCTGATACATTTTTTTTTTTTTTTTTATTTATGAGACGTGGTTTCAACTTCAGGCTGATACATTTTTTTTTTTTATGATTATGGTTTAACTTTTCTGAACTTTGAGATGCGAGTTTGTATAACTTTAAGACATGGGTTCGATTCCCACTTTGGTTATTTTTTTTATGACGTAATAAATACGTTAAAGAAAAAGTAAGTTCTTAGGAAGGGAAATTTTTGGTGGGACATATCGTTCTAACCCCATAAGAGTTCGATTGCAATCTTGGCTTTTTTCTTTATTTATGAAAAAAGTGTATTTATGTTATAATTCGTATTGTATGTCTGTTTGTGTTCAACTAAACTTCAACTAACAACGTAACTTAATTTAAAATCGCCAGTAATATTTGGCCTTAGGTTCGGAATCGACGTCGGTTCTGGTTCTGTCCCACGTAGGGCTTGAACTCCGGCCGGCGGTAGCACTCTCCTAACTGGGGAGACCGAGCTCTACTCACTCCACTACCGCCGGCCCCGATAGGACAGCATCCTAGGATTAACTTGAACTACGTCTGCTTTGATTTGATACTAGACTGATTTAGATCTGTTGGGTTGGGACGTGAGTTCGATTCCACTTAAGGCTGTTACTTTTTTTTTTTTTTTTTTTTTTTTTATATGAGACGTGTTTTCAACTTCAGGCTGATACATTTTTTTTTTTTTGTTTTTTATGAGACGAGGTTTCCACTTCAGGCTGATACATTTTTTTTTGTATGATTATGGTTTAACTTTTCTGAACTTTGAGATGCGAGTTTGTATAACTTTAAGAGATGGGTTCGATTCCCACTTTGGTTATTTTTTTATGACGTAATAAATACGTTAAAGAAAAAAGTAAGTTCCTAGGAAGGGAAATTTTTGGTGGGACATATCGTTCTAACCCCATAAGAGTTCGATTGAAATCTTGGCTTTTTTCTTTATTTATGAAAAAAGTGTATTTATGTTATAATTCGTATTGTATGTCTGTTTGTGTTCAACTAAACTTCAACTAACAACGTAACTTAATTTAAAATCGCCAGTAATATTTGGCCTTAGGTTCGGAACCGACGTCGGTTCTGGTTCTGTCCCACGTAGGGCTTGAACTCCGGCCGGCGGTAGCACTCTCCTAACTGGGGAGACCGAGCTCTACTCACTCCACTATCGCCGGCCCCGATGGGACAGCATCCTAGGATTAACTTGAACTACGTCTGCTTTGATTTGATACTAGACTGATTTAGATCTGTTGGGTTGGGACGTGAGTTCGATTCCACTTAAGGCTGATTTTTTTTTTTTTTTTTTTTTTATTTATGAGATGTGGATTCAACTTCAGGCTGATACATTTTTTTTTTTTATGATTATGGTTTAACTTTTCCGAACTTTGAGATGCGAGTTTGTATAACTTTAAGAGATGGGTTCGATTCCCACTTTGGTTATTTTTTTTATGACGTAATAAATACGTTAAAGAAAAAAGTAAGTTCCTAGGAAGGGAAATTTTTGGTGGGACATATCGTTCTAACCCCATAAGAGTTCGATTGAAATCTTGGCTTTTTTCTTTATTTATGAAAAAAGTGTATTTATGTTATAATTCGTATTGTATGTCTGTTTGTGTTCAACTAAACTTCAACTAACAACGTAACTTAATTTAAAATCGCCAGTAATATTTGGCCTTAGGTTCGGAACCGACGTCGGTTCTGGTTCTGTCCCACATAGGGCTTGAACTCCGGCCGGCGGTAGCACTCTCCTAACTGGGGAGACCGAGCTCTACTCACTCCACTACCGCCGGCCCCGATGGGACAGCATCCTAGGATTAACTTGAACTACGTCTGCTTTGATTTGATACTAGACTGATTTAGATCTGTTGGGTTGGGAGTGTGCGCATGGCAGATTTACGCGGTCTGTGGGAGTTTGAATTGCACTGCAAAAATTTTTTAGCAAGCCGATAGAAATTTACAACACTAATAAATCAACTCCGCTATTAATCCTGATCAGGAATATACATTATATACTTTATATGGTCGGAAACGATTCCTTCTACCTACATACTTTTCAACGAATCTAGTACACCCTTTCACTCTGCGAGTATCGTTTATTAAGCCGTACAACTAAGTTGTTCAGCTAAATGAATTCTACATTCTACTTGGGGTTTTGTTTTCCTTTGATATGGAGTTGGCTCATGCCAACTGATATTTATATTAATGCCAATTTAAAAAGAGTAGCCGAAAGAAAAAAAAATGTTTTTAAATATTCGCTTAAATTTGTACTTAAATACGTTATATACTTAAAAAATTTGTTATCAGTATTTATACAGTGGCTCACAGCTCACAGTGGCTTAGCTTAACCGTCTATCTGAAACTTCAACGGTCTGTAAAAGTTGAACTAAAAATTTTATCAAAAAAATTTAAACGCAACAAATTTCTGTTATGTTTCAAAATATTATTTACTAACTTATTTTATTTTTAATAATTTAGAGGATTGGGCTAAAATCACACCAGAAGTCACCCAAAAATTAGTGGATTCGATGCCGAAAAGGTTTAAAATGGTTGTTAACAACAAGGGAGGTTACACAAAATTTTTAAAAAAATTTAATAGTTTTAAGCATAAGAAAAAATACAAATTTTATAACTGGTTGAAATAAGCTGTTGCATTGTTTTGAGGTACATTTTCATTATTAATTCTTAAAAAAATACTACAAAAATTATTTAAAATAAAATAAGTTAGTAAAAAATATCTTGAAACATACAAGAAATTTGTTGCGCTTAAATTTATTTGATATTATTTTTAGTTCAGCTTTTACAGAACGTTAAAGTTTCAGATCGACAGTGGTTGAAATAAGCTGTGAGCCACTGTATATATTTGATTTTAAGCCTCAATATATGCTATCTAAAATATAAGGAACCGTTTAATTAATATACTAGTTAGTACCATTTTGATCATGGCTGTATATTTTTGAAGAGTGCGAGTATGTATGAAAAGCAATGCATTAAAGAAACGAAACTTTCACAATTTTTATGAAACCGCGATTTTCACAATTGAACGAATCAAATTTAAATACAACCGCAAAGGGGGGATGGGAAATGGGCGGGAGTGGGCGTGTGTAGGAGAAAAAGGCGGATGGGTGGAAAAGAGTAGAGAAAGGGGAAGTTACGCAGTTTTTGGTAACTGGCAAAAAACCAAATGTGTGGCAATTAAGTAGTCGAGTTAAAGCATTGAGACTAAGCTAAAGAATTAATTGAAGCAGCCGAGCAGAAAGCGTAAATTAATAGCAACATGTACATATGCACACTTGCAAACACACACTTACCAACACACCAACACACTCGCAGGCGGGCAAAACAAGTTGGCCGAATGGAAGAGCAGAAAAGCTGGCAAACGCACAAAGGTGGAAAGCACGGCGAGTTATATAAAACCTTTTTTTCCTTAGATTGGAGTTTGTTTTGGCCAACAAGCACGTTTATGTGGCAGAAAAATAGTGAAATATAGCGTGTTTTCCTTTAGAACGAAAATCTTTTTACGCACACTAACACAAACGCACGCAAACGCAACAGCTGAATGGGCGCGCAAAAGAGAGGGGACGAGCTCCACCCCAATTCCAGCGCCGCGGGAAAGAGAGGGAGAGATGCAACAGGCGGACGTTGAACGGGACAACCGACAACTTTTACCGTTTTCTTTCGCGCATCCTGATTCCGGAACCTCCGTTATTTAGATCGTTGATCAAAAGGCCAAACTTTACCGCGCACAAACACTCTTGTAAGAACACTCCAACGAAAGGTGACGAATGGCCAACGAAAATTGAACGAAATGAAATAAAAAAAAACAACACAACTTCTTCAGTAAACGTCACCAGTGTGACCGCAGAATTATCGATAAAGAATACCCTCCGGCACCAAGAAATATACGTTATATACTATATTCTTCAATTTAAACGGTCACTCTAGAAAAATTAGTTAATATCGATTTATTAGGCCAGCTATTTAAGAAAAAAAATAAATCACGAATGTTGAAGCAATAAAAGTATACTTATCTATAATACGATCATTTCAGCAAACAGCCTTAGTATTATACTTTCGACTTATATCGAATACCCAAGAAATTGGGATGGCAACTCCCGATATGATTAGAAATCAGAACAATTGGTTTTGGCTATTAAAGGGTGGCAATGCTGTTTCAAAGAGCGCGGAGTGTGTACATGCTAAAAGTGTCTTCGCTAAGCAATGTACCTTACCCATACTAAAAATTGCCTATGTTTATATTGTTCCTTGGAGATTTTAATCAAACATGATAGCATTACACAATATTTAACTCATGACTTTGTTGTTCCTTTGTTCTTTATAATTTTTAATATTTTTTGCAACTCTGCTTTTTGCACAAGTTGCATGTTCCTTTTGTTGCATGCAAATGGCCAAGGCAGGGCAAGCAAAATTTTCATTAAAAATAAATAAAATAACTCCCAAGAAGTTGGTCCATTTGCGCGAAAAAGAAGATCGATCAGTCGTCAACCATGAAAACGCCAAGCAGGAGGAGACTTCCGGTGGAAGCCACATAACTTACGTGAAATCTGTAGTCAGTACAGTGAGCACCCGTAGTCATAGTACGGATTCCGATGAGCATTTCGCATCTACGTCGGCAAGTGCCTGGAGTAGTTCAGTACCCATTTCCTTCTCCCAGCGAAAAATGCCCAATAAATTGGCGAAATCTATCGGCAAAAAGAAGGTTCGCAGCTCGGCGATCTCCATAAGTTCGGTAGCCCCAAAAAAGTCTAGAAGCACCATCAAGAAAAAGTTATCTAATATAGAAGAGCCGTTTCATTTATATAAGCTCAAGAAACTGGAAGCCATCGATGAAGCTCAGCTAGAAATATTCCATTCCAATCTGCACATAAATAGCTCCACCGAAAGCGTGGAGAAAACGACTGATCAGAGTGAAGGCGATAAAATTGAACCTGAAGGTGGAAATACGACTGAACACGAAGACCAGATGAGTGTATCCTCCGATTCGAACATAAGGATGCGCTTCGAATTTCTCCAAGCCCTCAAGGACATACCTGATTGGGACGAACTTGCTGCTAGCAGGACCATGTATCAGAATCAGGGCATCGATAAGGAGAATGTGGAAAAGCAGCGGGAGCAGGGCGTGGAACTAGAAGAGCTACGGATTCCATTGGCCCGCAGTTCGTTGGCCTCTTCAGTGGATAGCCTCGTTCCCAACGAGTCCACTTGTGAAGCACTTCCTTCGAGAAACAATGCCCATGTGCACAGGTCGACCCCATCTCCCTCCGGACTGGAATCTGATGACGAAAGCGATTGGGGATCGCAGGGCATGCCATACAATCCGAGTCACGTGCCCACTTTCAAGGACATGTCTTCGGGGTCCTGGACCTCCACATCTAGTCCCAAGCTTATACGTTCGACTTTTCCCGTCGATCAGTTGGTCCAGAGATATCTGGATGGGCTTATTGAAAAAGTAGTCGACGTATTAGTTAATACGGACTATTTGCGGGAGAAAAATCTAGACAAAAGTAAGCTACTGGATCGCCTTTTCCAGGAAGTCGACGATCACCACGGGCAGAGATACTACAACGATTTACTGACCAAACGCCTAACCGAACACCACCTACGCCGATTTAAGTACTCCCTTGTAACGCCGAGCACTAGTTCCTCCATCGATGAAGCCCATCGCAGGCGGTACTTAGGTGCCCTAAACGAACTGGATCATTGGCTCCACAGGGAACGGCAGGCTGAGGAGATTCACCTGGCTGAAAAGGAACGACTGCTGGCGGAATTGGAGCGGATGCAACTGGAGGGCAACGAGAAGGTCGAGAGGATGGAGGACATCTTTAGAAATACTATTTTTCGGGACACCCAACCTTCTGAACGCCTTCGATTTGTGAGTCTACAAAATCTGATTCGATAATTTCGAAAATAAAATTGTTCGCTAATGTTACAGTTCATGTTTATAGGATTAATTCATATTACTTATATTAAAAGAAAAATGGCGTGAAAACGTAATGCTCAAAGACTTAAAGTTTTTCGTGTTATTATAAATGTGTAAATAATTATATTTAGCAGAGGGGAATAAAAAACATTTTGTATTATTTAACAGGTGTAGCATATCTACCCTTCCATATATCAAAGAATGGGTATGTCTTAACGTTTGTACATAGTCACATTGTGCCAGACTAAATAAAGACATACAAATACCCAAAATGACCAACAACAATAATATAAGCATTCCAGCGCCCAAGAAATATGATCGAACGCTTATACATAAGCCGATCGCGGAGCCTGGGAATGCTGAGCATGCACTTTGCAGCTCAAGTGGTCAAGCCATACATAAACATATGCATGCCTTCTGCATACATATGTATATGTATAAATGCAATTCAGAAATATATAGAGATAAGCAATATATGTGCGGGTTAGCTGAACCCAAAATCAGCTCAGAAGATTATCAAAATAAAGAACCATGAAGTGATCGGATCGCTCTCTCTCTTTTTTTTGACAAAGATATATCATATCTTTACATGGCGACCGTGACTTAAAGAACCAAACTGTGAGTGAAATTTTGATTTCTGGCAGTGTATGCAGCGCACCACCTGGAAGGGGAAGACCTCCGCCACAGCCGTCTACATCATAAACGGCAAATTAATAATTTGTACAATCCGGAAGAGAACCCGGACCGAAGTGATTTAATGTGTAAAAAAAAAATACCGTGTAAATGAATGGCGGATGAGCCAGAATTCGAAAAAGCGGAGCCAAAAAGGCAGAAAGATCCGCCAACATTAAAAGAAGCTTTAGAAAACCCAACAGACGGACCACGCCCACTCACAATAGCTGAGTATCGGGCTCGACAGCAAAAGAAAATAATTAAAAAACATAAAAGAAGTGGCCGTCGGGTCAAGCTTCTCCAACAACGGCGGCTGGTCAAAGAAATGACCCAGCTCGCCAAAGATGAAGAGAACCGGCAACGCTACAAAGAGCGTTTGGAACAAATTGAAGAAAAACTTCGCACTGGTGCGAAGTAACGCAAACGGGCTGCAAATTTTGCCAATGCCCCAATTTGCCAAAACAAGGCAGCCGAAAAACGCTACAAAGAGCGCATCCAAGAAGACAAGTTTCCAAGTTTCGCAAGGTGCGAAATAACGCAAACGGGCTGCAAAATTTTGCCAATGCCCCAATTTGCCTTAGTTTTTAACTTCTAAATTCAAGCCGATGCGGGAAACCGCTGCTTGAAAAATACTAATCTCTGTTAGGCTTTTACTAACAAATGTGGTTGGATTTTTAATTTTTTTTTTTTAAATTTGTAATTAAATCTGTAAGCCAACCACATTAACTCACACACTAACTTTTTCACACTCAAAAAAAAAGGTTTTGGTACAATGACAAGCGTAAAATAAAAAAAAAAAAAGAGAAAATTTTAATTTTATTTTCATTGATTTCGTAGAAGAAATAGAATATCTAATTTTTTTTTTTTTTCTCTTTTAATGAAGGGTTCCATTGAATATATAATTTAAAATGGGATGGTTTAGCTCTAGCAAGGAGGCAAGTGACAACACTGCCAATGTAGTAAATGAGGTAAAAATAATCGATCATAGGGAAGATATTGAATCCTTGCGACTTTTACTACTAATTATAACAGTAGTTCTAGTTCTACAATTTTTGCTTACACTTTATGTTAAGCATAATAAAATTATAAAAAAAAGATATGTCAGCAGGGCCAACCATCTAGATCTGGTTTAAAAAAAAAAAAGAAATGATCAAGAAGCTACAATCTAAGAATGGAATGGAGCGAAATAGCGAAACGCATTGACGACTTTCGCTATAGATTTGACAAATCTTACAAATGCATTAATAGAGATGCAGTAATTAAACCAGAGACCCTAAAAAGCCACACAGAAATTGTAGTAGGCGAATATAATAATATAGTTACTTTAGTAAATAACTATAAAAATAGATTCACACCTGAGCACTGCAACAAATGTCTAAGGGTAATAAAATCCCTTAATACAAGATTAAATAATATCAAAAACAGGAGACATATTGCAATTAACGTGCCAGAAAGCCTAGATCAATTGGTGGAATTCGATCCTGACCAGTTCAAAGGGCTAGATGAATCTATTCAAACAGGCGACGCTGAATCCGATAGTGACATTGAAACACTAGAGGAAAGCGATCAAATCGAATTTAAGCCTGAACCAATAACAATTTCCGAAATGGCTCAGACAGTAACAGAATTCATCAGGCTAGCCACATCTCTGATACCAGAGTTTGATGGTAGGCATGAAAATCTGCAAAGCTTCTTAGACGCTCTAGGTCTATTAGACAGCTTAAAGGGCGCTCATGAGACAACAGCCGTAAGCCTTATAAAAACAAAACTTAAAGGCCATGCTAGGAATCTCATCAGTAATGAGCAAACAATTAATGAAATTATTGCCCAACTGTCGACTGCAGTAAAAGGAGAATCGGTAGAAGTCATATCTGCCAAGCTCCTCAATCTGCAACAGAAAAACAAAACGGCCAACCAGTACACCCAAGAGGTAGAAAAACTGACGAAGGCCCTTGAAGGCGCCTATATCAGTGAAGGTATCAGCCAATCCATGGCAAATAAATACAGCACTACAGCAGCTGTAAAGGCCATGACACAAAATTGCTCCATCGATAAAGTTAAACTTATCATGCAAGCAGGCACATTCACAAACATGAATGAAGCCATCTCCAAATTTGTCAACTCTTGCACCGAGATAACAGGTCAAAGTAACACTGTTCTCCATTATCGACGAGGTGCAAATAACAATAATAGAGGAGGCCGAGGTTATAATCGTGACAGAAATAACTACCACAACAATTACAACCGAGGTAGCAGTTACAACAATAATAACTATAATTACCGTGGAGGAAGACGAGGTCAAAACCAAGGAAGAGGCCGAGTTAACTCCAATCAGAGCAATAACAACAACAATGTGAGGATGTTGCAAAATACGTCGGAAAACTCACAGAACCCTTTAGGAAACAATCAATAAATGCAAAAGTTCATACCATCAATTATAGTCTTAATACATTCGTAACCTTCTATAATCATTCAACTGAAAATAAACTAACATTCCTCATAGATACGGGTGCAGAAATCTCACTTTTAAAAGTAAATTCTGATAACTTCAAAATTCACGATGAAAAAATAATAAACATCGAAGGCATAGGCCAAGGCGTAATAAAATCTCATGGAACAACCTCAATAGAACTTCGATCAACAAAATATATTATTCCACATGAATTTCATTTGGTAGACTCAAATTTTTCAATACCATGTGATGGAATAATAGGAATTGACTTTATAAAAAAATTCAATTGCCAACTAGATTTCAAACCAAGTGAAGACTGGCTTATAATTAGACCCCAAAATCTAAAATATCCAATATACGTTCCGATAACATATAGCGCAGGCAACAATACAGTCCTTCTGCCAGCCAGATCACAAGTTATTCGAAAAATAGACATTAATACCGTAAATGATTACATTTTCGTTCCTAATCAGGAAATACATAATGGAATTTATATTGCAAATACAATAGCAGCATCCAAACATGTATACATTCGACTTCTAAACACAACTAATTTCGACCAATTGGTCAAAGTAAACGAAATCCAATATGAAAACCTAAAAGATTACGACATTCATAACATCGATCCAGAATATAGAAGCGAACAAGTACTTTCCAAACTAAAGAAAAATTTTCCAGAGCAATTTAAAAGCCAATTAACTGAATTATGCACAAAGTATAGTGATGTGTTCGGACTGGAAACCGAACCAATATCAACAAATAATTTTTATAAACAAACATTAAGACTTAAAGATGATGAACCCATTTATATAAAAAACTACAGAAGTCCGCATAGCCATATTGATGAAATTCAAAAACAATTAGGAAAATTAATAAACGACAAAATCGTAGAACCGTCTGTATCCGAGTACAACAGCCCACTCTTGTTAGTTCCGAAAAAATCATTACCGAATTCAGAACAAAAGAAATGGCGATTAGTAATTGACTATCGTCAAATCAATAAAAAACTTCTTTCTGATAAATTTCCACTCCCAAGAATTGATGACATTTTAGATCAACTTGGTCGAGCTAAATACTTTTCATGCCTTGACTTGATGTCAGGTTTTCATCAAATAGAACTTGAAGAAAACTCAAGAAACATAACATCATTTTCAACAAGCAATGGCTCATATCGCTTCACGCGATTACCATTTGGACTTAAAATAGCACCAAATTCATTCCAGAGAATGATGACCATATCATTCTCCGGTTTGGAACCTTCTCAGGCATTCCTTTATATGGATGACTTAATGGTGATAGGATGTTCCGAAAAACACATGATTAAAAACCTAACTGATGTTTTTAATGTATGCAGGAAATATAACCTAAAGTTGCATCCAGAAAAATGTTCATTTTTCATGCATGAAGTGACCTTCCTAGGCCACAAATGCACTGATAAAGGAGTTTTGCCAGATGACAAGAAATTTGACGTCATCAAAAATTATCCTGCCCCTCATGATGCGGAGAGCGCAAGACGATTTGTAGCATTCTGCAACTATTATCGTCGATTTATAAAAAACTTCGCCGACTATTCACGGCACATAACTAGATTATGTAAAAAGAATGTCCCTTTTGAATGGTCAAACGAATGCCAAAACGCATTCGAATACCTTAAAGAAAAGCTTATGCACCCCACGTTATTACAATATCCTGATTTTCGCAAAGAATTTTGCATTATAACAGATGCTAGTAAACTAGCTTGCGGAGCGGTTCTAACTCAGAACCGTGAAGGGATTCAACTCCCAATAGCTTATGCATCTCGTTCATTTACAAAAGGGGAAAGCAACAAGAGTACAACGGAACAAGAACTCACGGCAATTCATTGGGCAATTACCCACTTTAGACCATACATTTATGGCAAACATTTCACTATTAAAACGGACCATAGACCATTAACGTATCTATTCTCTATGACTAATCCCAGTTCCAAATTAACTCGCATGCGGCTAGAGCTTGAAGAATACGACTTCACTGTAGAATACCTAAAGGGGAAAGATAATTTCGTAGCAGACGCACTTTCGCGTATAAATATAAAAGAATTAAAAGACATGCAACATAAAGTCCTGAAAGTCACTACCAGGCAACAAAGTAGACAGGATAAAAACTGTACAGTATCAAATAAGGAACTATTGCCTAGGCAAAGTATCCAAAATGTATCCAAGCCCAACGTACATGAAGTCATAACAAATGATGAAGTACGAAAAGTAGTGACCTTGCGAATAACTGAATCTATTTGTTTACTAAAACGAGGAAATAAAGTTATTGCAAGAATTGAAGTTGACGATTTATATACCAATGGAATTCTAGATTTAGATCAGTTCTTCCAAAGGCTTGAAACGCAAGCCGGTATACTAAAGATCAGCCAACTCAAATTGGCACCGAGTGAAAAAATCTTTGAATCCATTTCAATAGATGCTTTCAAGCAGATGGGCAACAAGAAATTAAAATCATTGAGAGTAGCGCTACTCCAGCCGGTGACCATTATACAAAATGAAAAAGAGATACAATCAATACTGTCTACATTCCATGACGATCCAATTCAAGGAGGTCATACAGGCATTACAAGAACGCTAGCAAAAATTAAAAGACACTACTATTGGAAAAATATGACTCGTCATATAAAAGAGTACATACGTAGATGTCATAAATGCCAAATGTCGAAGACAACGACACACACAAAGACCCCAATGACTAAAACAGAAACCCCAGCAAATGCTTTCGATATAGTGATAGTGGACACCGTTGGTCCACTACCGAAATCAGAATATAACAATGAATACATCGTCACACTAATATGTGATTTAACGAAATATCTGGTAGCCATACCTGTTGCGAACAAGAGCGCAAATACAGTCGCAAAAGCTATATTCGAAAATTTTATACTAAAGTACGGTCCAATGAAGACGTTCATTTCGGACATGGGTACCGAGTATAAAAACAAAGTAATTTTAGACATGTGTAAATATATGAAGATTGAAAATCTCACATCCACAGCATATCGTCACCAGACTTTAGGGACAATAGAACGAAGTCATAGAACATTCAATGAATACATTCGTTCGTACATTTCTGCTGATAAAACTGATTGGGACGTTTGGATACAATATTTCACATATTGTTTCAACACAACACCATCAGTCATGCATGAGTACTGTCCATATGAACTAGTCTTTGGTAGATTACCAAGACAGTTCGCAGATTTTAATAAAATAAATAGAGTAGAACCACTTTATAATGTAGAAGATTACTCTAAGGAAATAAAATTTAGATTAGAAATAGCATACAACAGAGCTAGACTTATGTTAGAAAAAGCTAAGTCTTATAGGAAACAAAACTACGATAAGAAATCGTTAGATTTTGAATTAAAAGTAGGAGATAAAGTAAGTCTAAGAAACGAAGCGGGTCATAAGTTAGATCCAGCATATTTAGGTCCTTATACGGTAGAAACCATAGAAGATAGGGATAATATTATAATTAAAGATAACAAGAATAAGAAACAAAAAGTACATAAGGATAGGTTAAAAATATATAATCGATGAAACGTTTCATTAAAGAAAAGGTCTGATCAACCCCAAAAAAAAAAATACATAAAAATACAAAAAAAAATATATATTCTTCTAAGAAATTTAAACTTAAAACATAACGTAATTCAATTTAAAACTTTACTTGTCATTACACACAAATGCCTTTACCCTCGAGATAGAGCATTACTAATAATTAAGTATATAATAAGAAACAAATAAACTTCATTTCAATATATAATTAAAAAAAAAAAAACACAATAAATTCACACTAAAACTAAATGACTACATGTATTACGTCATTTCTTTAAAAAGGGAGGTGTAGCATATCTACCCTTCCATATATCAAAGAATGGGTATGTCTTAACGTTTGTACATAGTCACATTGTGCCAGACTAAATAAAGACATACAAATACCCAAAATGACCAACAACAATAATATAAGCATTCCAGCGCCCAAGAAATATGATCGAACGCTTATACATAAGCCGATCGCGGAGCCTGGGAATGCTGAGCATGCACTTTGCAGCTCAAGTGGTCAAGCCATACATAAACATATGCATGCCTTCTGCATACATATGTATATGTATAAATGCAATTCAGAAATATATAGAGATAAGCAATATATGTGCGGGTTAGCTGAACCCAAAATCAGCTCAGAAGATTATCAAAATAAAGAACCATGAAGTGATCGGATCGCTCTCTCTCTTTTTTTTGACAAAGATATATCATATCTTTACACAGGTAACTGAAACCGCTCTACAACAAATGAGAAACAAACGCGATGCGATGTCTGCTATACGGATGATCTTGATCATAAGGCAGCATAACAATTCCTACATCAAACAGGTCGGAACTACGAATTAAAATACTTTCGTTGGCTAAAAAGGTTTATCCCTAGAAACTCGATGAAATTGAGGCCAATTCTGAAGAAGTCAAATTGGAAACCTATCTATCCGCCGAAAACGACGTTCAGCAGATGGTAACCACTGTAAAAAGTAAGTAGAGGAGTATAATTCTGATAAAATAATAAATAAAAAGTATATACCTATCCAAAATTTGGTTTGCAGATAAAAGCGCTGAGCTGCATCGAATGTATACCCTGGTGAAAACCAAAGTTCATACCATTTCGCATCTGAGGTGTCGACGGAAACTGCTGAATCGCAAGTTCAAGGAGGCCAAAGATGAATTACGAAAAAAGCAAGAGCAGCACATAGCATTGCGCGATGAATTATATAGTTGCAATCTGACGCATAACAAACTTCTTGACCAGATCAAAGAAGTTCGCCATAAGGGTGGCATTATGTGCTATCCCAAGTTGTTGGCCGATTTCGATCGAACCGAGGAGTTTATTGCCATTAAGCAGGGACGTGTTGAGGAATTAAGGAGACAGCACGACAATTTGCTGGAGAAAATCGCCAAGATCGAATTAAAGATTCTAGAATCTAAAATGGGTGCATGCATCATTGCTGACTCTGATTAAGTTATAAGAAGCAAGGTGTCTTGGCCGAAAAATAAATCAAACAAATCTTCAACATGTATTCTGTTTATGAGGTTTTTAATTTGTTACGTGAAACAAGAAGGGAAAAATCCCAGATAAATCAAATTAGATGTGTCAAAATTGTACAAAAAATTACAAGTTTTAAACCTTTTGGGGGTATTTCCAATTTTTATTGAAAACTTTATCAATTAAAAATGGCTTTCTTCCTCATTCGCTTGGCATTGGTGGCCGGCGCGGTCTATGGAACCCAGGAGCTGGGAGTTTGGGAAAGCTCCGACCACACACAGGTGCTCTTTGAAGGTGCCAAAAGGGAGGTGAGTCCCTACGCCGAGGATCTGATGAACCGATTCTGCTGCTGGCGGTGCGACAAGTGCAACGAGGCTGCGGAGGTGAAGCCCTGGCAGGAATCCATGGTGGATGCCTGGAACGAGACGATCAAGAAGACATTCAACGCCCTGGGCGTCCGGGTTCCCTTCTATTACAAGCGATTCTCGGAGGACTTTCAGCAGGGTATCGACGACTTGGTGAACGATAAGGAGGAAGTAGATATCAATGCAAAAGATGGCCCCAAAAACAAATTAAAATAACACACTCGCAATTTTGAATTAAAATGCATTTCTCAGTTTTGTTGGCAAAAGTACGACATCAATTTTAATAGTAACATCAGCATTTTGAAATATTACAAAAAATAATGTTTTATTTAAATATTGTATTTTCAAAAGTTTCGATTATTTTATTGATGCATGCGTGGCTTTTTCACGGCCGAGTGAACTCCGCCCGGATATCTAGCAGTGAAGCATAAGGAGGAATCTGACACATAGCCCGCTGTGGAGTTATTGGCGTACACCCTAGGAGTGGAATGATTTCTCATTGCATTTTGATGATCAGCTCGAGAACTTGGGGCAACAAACGTAGGCTTGGAAAAGTTGTCGGGAGGATTCATGTTAGAGCCAGCGGGACGAGCAATGGGATTCGAAGTGTTACGACCCGGATTTGAAGATCCAGTAGCCAGCATCGAGTTGCTGCCAGAGTTTAGACCAGGAACTGAAGCACTAGCGGTTACCGGATTCGGGGGCAGCCCAGTCCTGGGATTCGCTGGCAGGGTCTCAGCACCCTTGTCCTTCAGTTCGGCCATTATACCCACCTGACACTGCCGCCAGGTGGGCAGCATCAGACCTCGGCTCACAGTCGGCGTGGGCAGGGATGGCTGGCTGGGAACAAGGGACTTCACCGGCTGGTGGATCGGTCTCCTGCTCAGCTCCTCTGTCCGCTCCAGGTTTGCCATCTCCAAGTCCTCCACACTCACGTTGGAGCGGTTGGCCAACTTAGCGAAACGTTGGGCCTCAACGAGTTTGTCCCTTGCCAAAGCTGTGCCAGACATTCACATACTTTTATAAGTGTCTACTGTGGGCATGCCAACTCACTGTAAGCCAGATCCAAGATGACACCACGAGCCTGCGGCTCCACCTCCAAACGCTGCTCCTTCAGCAGACTGTCCACAAACTCCAGATCGGAGCGTATATCCAAGTCGCGCTCGCTCAGCTGGTAGTTTGATTTCTTGTCCATTTCACAAATTCAATTGGTTGCTCTATTGTATCTAAAATTGTTCCAATTTAGCTGCTGCCAACTTGATGTGGAACAAATTTAGTTTAGGGTTTGCAGGCTAAGGAGCAGCAACTCTATAAATTATTATGGGATTTATCGCGATAAGTGCGATAATCACATGAAAAAGTTTTAAAAATATACCAACCTAAAAAATATTAGTTATCCATTTACAGTAAATGGGTTAGAGTTCAAAACTTACATTTTGTGAAATAATGTTTTCCACATATTTACTTGTAAAATGCTCCATCTTCTAGAAAGGACACGGCAAGGAGCCCTCAAGTTCCTACTGCGCACTATTTATTTTTTAATTTTGATATTTTTTTTTCTTTTGAACATAAGTTTTCTTTTTGAATTTTTTTCAACAAAGTTTTTATTTTCAGTCATATTTCAGCAAATAGGTTTGGTTTGTGTATAGCTTAATATAACATCGGTTTATTTAAATGACGTTTCTTTTTACAATAATTGCGAGCATAAGTATAGAGAAGTCGAGATAAGGACAATGTATCCATGGAGGGGATGGAGTGAGTTGCTGGCAGCACTGCGCATATATTTATAGGTGGAGTTATATGTGTCGTCCTGGTAATTGCTGTTGGAGTTCGATCTGTAGCTGGAGCTAGTCGTTCTGTAGTATGGGTGGAAATATAGAGAGCTGGAACTTTGCTTACTGGATGGCTTGTTCAGTGGTGTGTAGGCCGGCGGTCTCTCGCGAATGTTCGTGGGAGCTCCACCCACGGTATCATGAGCTGAGTACGCCGGCGGAGGTCCTTTGGGCAAGTTAGATCCACCTCCAGTGCGTTCCGAGTGGAACGTAGGCATCGAAAAGGATTGCAGGGAAGATAAGTAGGTGGGAGGAGATCCGCCAGATCTTGACCCACTGTAAATGGACCCATAGCTGGATCCATAACTGGATCTTAAACCGGATCCATAACTCGACCCTAAACCGGATCCATAGCTGGATCCATAGCTGGATCCATAGCTGGATCTAGAACTGGATCCAGAACTGGAGCGAGAGCTGCTACTACTTGTGCTTCCGCCACGTGGTGTTCCCATTGCTATATTGAGAGCCAGGAGGATGATCGCCATCAACAGGATGCCCTTCAGTCCCCGTGGGTAACGAGACATTCTGAAATTAACATTTAACATTCAGTTAAATTCGTATTGAATTCCAAATAATTCGGACAATCGTTCTTCTTAAATTAAGTACCAGAACAAGAGGATGTAGCACTCTTAGATCTATTGGATACATTTCAACATTTGATTCAACATTTTGATATATCTGTAAGTATATTAAGGATCATATTACCTAAAAGCTTTAACTTGGATTCTGGAACACAAAAGATTTCGTTGCCTGAATGTTTTTTATACGTTTTATTGCGAGTTTTGGTGTCGGGAATATTGCTTTTACTCAGAGGAAATATCTCAAACAACTAAGCTTCCGAAAATATTGCGGTCGCTATTTATGTTTTCATCTGGACCGTCTAATCGAGCAGAGTTTGACTACGGGGTCAAAATTATGCTGATTAGCTTACGCTGAAAAATAAAATCTATTGTTATTTAGTTGAGGTTGACCAATTGACTTCTTGTATTTAATTTTGCAAAACAATACTTATCAATATATGATTCAGTAAAATGTTCAGTTAAAGGAGAAAGGAATTAAGTTAAATGATATAACCTGCGTAAATAAATGTTGTAATATATACGAATTGCTGCTGGTATCATTGATAATCGACTTTATGATTAAAAAAGAACGTAACTATTATTATCTTTTTATTATCTTTATCTTTTTTATATTGCTTTATTAATATCTATATGATTTGTTTTCTATTACTTTTAAAGAATTTTAATGTTGTACCCATGCCAGCTAAATAAAATTCAGATTTTGATCATTATAGAGAAGTGAAAAGAATTACCACATTAATTTAGTTGAATCGCCATGAAAACTATAAATAACAAATCCTAATATTTTAAATACAGGTTAAAATTATACTTATTGTTCAGAAAAAATGTTTCAGTAAAATATAAAATGTATTCCATGGATTGTAGGATATTTTCTCTTTCTAAAAGTGGCAAAACCGCTTTCACCATCAAATGCTAATATATTTCTTATATATTTTATATTTTAGTAAAAATCCCCTTTTCCCCTTTTTGTTCCACTTTTTAAAGATCAACACTCATAAGCATATTATAATTGTTTGGTACATTTATTGGAACTAAGAGTATATATCAAAAATTCGATTTCTTTTTTTTACAAAATATATAACGAGAACCGTGCGATTGGTTTTAGTCGTATTCGAATTTCCATACGAGTCTGAGACCCACAGAATGGCAATAAATTAGATAAATTCGGTTGCCAATGCGACTGTGTCCTGGAGGTGTCCATCGCCTTAGTGGAGACAGTAGGCCACCATCAGGGTCACCACCGTGGAGATGAGACTAAAATGTCCATGGGTTCGGTCTGCGGTATTGTGCGCATCCTTGAGGCCAGATTCCGCCGACAGTCGAGCTTGTGTCAGACCCGGCATCTTCATAATATCCGGCTGACCACCGGGAATAATGGGCGCCAACGGCACAGATCCCTCAGGAATGGTCACAGGAGTGGTGGCCTGGATGGGAGCCAGTTGAACAGATCCAGGGGCGGAAACGGGAGCAGGTACAGCACCTTCCACTGCTGGTGCTGTTCCATTGGCGGGAGGAGTAGACTCCGGTGGCGGAGCTGGATAGCACGCGATCTGGTCCAACTCAATAGTCTTGGAAGGATCATTGGGATCCGGACCGGGCACTTTAACGGGCACACAGATAATGCCACCAGCAGGTGGTGCATTGGGATCAGCAGGGGCTCCAGGTGCAGGAGGAACAGGCGCATTTGGATCCGTCGGATTCGGTGCAACTGCGGGTCCAGGAACGACAGGAGCCACAGGAGTTCCAGGTGCAACAGGAGGTGCCGCTGGGTCAGCGGGAGCAGGTGGCGAAGGACCCAAAGGCGCCAATGGAACTGATCCTGCAACTGGCGAGGTTGGAGGAACGGGTAGAGCTTGAGTGCCAGTAGCAGGTGGAGCGGCATAAACAGGTGGCACTGGCAGCGCTGGGGAAGCGGCTGCTTGGTTTCCTCCAGCATTTATCACCGTAGTACCCGACCCCACATCTGTGGTGGTCACCGATCCAGGAGGTCCGTTGTTGATAATGATGATTTTGTCGTCACTACCGTGGCCTCCTCCACCTCCACCTCCACCACCGCCGGAATAGGAATTGGAACTCTCCACCACACGGGTGTGGGTGGGTGTGAGTGCGTGACCCAGGATGGCGCCACCCAGTGCTCCAGCAATAAGACCAGTGCCTGTTAAATGAAGAAATTCCAGATAGTTAGGACCCTGCATACAGAGGATTACTCAATTTTCTTGACGCACCCAATCCCAAGCCTGACGAGGACTTCTGCGGCGCCTGTGGATAGTAAACAGCTCCTGCAGGCAACGCTCCTCCAGCGGGCAGGAAGGTGGCTCCTGCGGGCAGACCTCCTCCGACTGGCCCTTGTGGGTAGTAGGTGGCTCCATGGGGCACTTGGCCGACTGGATGGTAAGAAGCTCCTGCGGGATATCCACCCGAAGGATGGTAACTGGCACCGGCTGGAACCTGACCCGTGGGATAGTAGGTGGCTCCGTGGGGCACTTGACCAGCTGGGTGGTACGAAGCTCCCGCCGGCAAGTGACCCGCAGGATGGTAGGATGCTCCGGCTGGAACTTGCCCCGCTGGGTGGTACGTGGCTCCGGCTGGAAGTTGACCCGCCGGATGGTAGGTGGCACCTGCTGGCAACTGTTGGCGGGGATAGCTCCACTGCACATTGTGGGCATTGGTGGCTGTTATCGGCTGATATCCACCAGTGAAGTTATTCCGGCCTCTGTACGCTGTGTTGTGTGTTCCGCCATAGTAGTGGGAACCACTTGAACTGGAACTGGCACCGGGACTGGCTGCTCCTACAGGACGAGATGGGCTCTGGAGATTCGTGTTGCCGTGCGTTTGGGTGGCGGCTGAATAGCTGGGTGGAGCTGGCTTGTACGCCGGGTTGTAGGCTGGTGGTCGCTCATGTATGTTGGTGTGAGCTCCGCCCACTGGATTCGATGGGGAGTACGCCGGCGGAGGGCCTTGGGGCTTCCAGCCAATTGGTGAGGCGGGTGCCGAAGGAGCTGCACTGTGCGTCTGGGAGCTGCTCACCCTGCTCACCGGCTGCGAGTGGGATCCACCTCCGTAGCTCAGCCTGACATTATCATGGTGTGGAGCAGGAGCAGCGTGGTGCGATGGAGCTGAGTGCGATGGCGCAGAATAGCTGTGCGAAGAGGTCCTTCTGGTAGAGCTGGAACTGCTACTGCGACTTCTGCTGCCACTGAATTTCCACTTTGCCTGCACATCCTCGGTGGTCAGGGCCAATACTAGGAGCACCACCACCAGCAGGCTGCCACTGAGCCGCGTCGGGTTAGTGGCCATTCTGAAATGCATCAAACACTCAATTATCAGCTTGGTTTAATTATTTAATTTATTTTAGGATTTCTGGTGCTTGGGCTGTTGAGTGAAACAACATGCCTGCCATGATATAATAGGGTCTCCCACTTCGCAACCAATATAATGTAGTATCCACTAAAAAACATATCTCAACCTATTTCAGCTAGGAATTCAATTCAAAAGGTGTTATTATGTTGGTATCATGATACTTGAGTTACGATTTACATATTTTTGCCCATATCTTTTTAATATATTATGTTAGTTTCACGAGGCTTTTTAGGGTATTTAATCGTCGACTTCTGCAGACGACCCTATTCGCTTCCTACTGCACCCCAATGTCAGTCATCATCAGGCAGTATGGTTTTATCAATATGTTTGTGTAAAAAACAATTGATTCAATTCACGCTAATAATAGACACAAATTATGGTTAGCCGAATGATACTTGGTTTCCTGTTAGCTTTTCTAGGTAGTTACAATAAAACTACTCTGCAGTTCTAGCACTTTGCTGTACACTTAAAATATTAAACAATCAGCGAGTGTCATGCCCTGGTTGCCACATTTCCAGGAGGTGGGTACAGTTCGCGCCCACTTTATTAGACCAAATTAGATGCGCGTTATGCGTGTCTTGGGCGGTCCTCTAATGATAATTAACTTGCTGATTTTGGCGGCGTGCCGCGTGTCTACACTCCATTGAGTTTCGCCATCGGGTTTCAAACACACCCAGGCTTTGTTCCAGAACTATTACCACAAGAATTTAAAGGTCAGGTCAGGCCTAAGAGGTTAACGGAAGCTTCCTCTATCGCTAATCATTTTGATTAAGGACTTTACAATCAAGAATCAGACACATATGAACAATATATTTGCTGCATATACTTTTTCACTTGAATTCCGCATTTATAAACAATAGATTTCCGTGCATCATTTGAGTGCTGTAACTTGCGAGTGCTGCTAAACACATGATAAACTGGTTTGATGACTCATCGAACCACTGAACTGCAACGCATGCGCAGCTATGACGTCAGAGGGGAAATTTTGCGGTTCAACACGAAATCGCTTATCATGTTTGTTTACCAACTGTCCTCCACGATTTCTAAGAATTTCACTATGATGCCCTATGATGCCTTGAAATACAAAGCTTATCGCTAGTGGCAAATAGCAAACACTAAAAGATTAGCGAACCAGTTGCAGATGACAGAATAATTTCAACCGAAAACTTCAATAAATTTGAGAAAATCTAAAAAATATCACAATTAATGTACATACACGTATGTATGTTCATTACTTATATTACTCATTACTAGATTAGGTCAGGAAATTGTATGCTAATCGCAGATTCTGATGTCAGATGTCAAAGCACTTCGAGATTATCATGTATTCCAAACGCTGCCAAACGCCTTAATTCAAATGAGTTGTTCAGTAATAAATAAGTGATTCACTATTTACGGAGCCTTCGAAAGAGCTTTTTTAAAGCAGACTTTCAAATATATGGAAGACTCATATATTCGAAGACATTCGAAAAAGAAATAACGTGCAAGTTGATTGGGCGTCAAAATCCGGTTAGTTATGTGTGCTTCTGAGTGGGTGGTGCCTCTTGTAAAACATTTTGGCACGAATTGGTTTTATTTGCTATTTGGGCAGCTGGTCTCAAAACTAGATGAGTTTATATAAAATTTTATTTGCCCAACTAATGGGGTGAGGCAACTGTTTATAGAAGAATGATCTAATAGGGATTCGACTGGGCCCTTATCACGAAATTATATGTAATAGTACTTATATATATTTCGTTTTTTTAGAAAACTAAATCATAACTTAGTTTTGTAATTTTTTTGTATAATTTCCAATCCCTCCCTAATGTTTTCCCTTGTCGAAGTAGTATACGTCTTGGCTTGGTCCAATTTAAACCCGCTTTTTGCGTGAATTTTCTTAATTGAAGACGTATTTATGTACATATGTATGTACATACATACATAATGTGCTGATTAATCAAAAACATCTGCTTGTTTCATATATGCGAAATAATAAAATCTTGTTTAAAGGAAGAAATCTTTCGCCTGAAGAAGCCAAGTACTTTGTATGGCTTCTGTTAATTTGAACGCAGTTCGTTCCCAAGCAAAATGTTTTCCTTTTGTTTCTCAGTGACCTTCAAGTCGGGCAATGTTTGCAAAAATAATAAATAAGCAAGAGCAATTAATGCTCGACCCAAGCGAATAGCAGTACCTACTGCCTGCACAATTTTGAGAATGCAATATTTGAATTCTGGACATTCACCACTCGCAACGCCCTCAGCTTTAAATGTAATATGTAATAAACCCCAATGTATTCGGATATTTACTCTGATTTCTGAGTATTCCGCTTGCTGCTTGCTGCTTGCTGCTTGCCGCGTGCGATATTCGCTTTGTCTCGTGCAAAGTTTCTCGAACAACTGAGCTGCGGCGCAAACCAGCCACTCGCGTTTTGCGTTTTTCTCGGGAGCGGTTTGCGGCGAGCGGAGCGGCGAGCGGAGCGGCGACCGCGAGAGCGAATCCAACACGTTGTTGGAGAGTCGGTGGTCAGTGCACTGCGCGAAACTTGGTGGGCGCACCCACGTTTCTACTTACCTCAAATTGAATTCCTACCTCCGAAACCTTAAAAATTTAAATGAATTTGTAGTGCCTTTGCGAAGAAAAATGTGTGTATATAATTAGTTTACATTAATATTAATCCAATTAAAATCGTGTCGATGTCTTTACAATTTCTTGAAATTTAAATGCTAACATTATTGGTTGGATCTTTTTAAAAAGAGTGTGGATTTTCTGGAAAGTAAAGCAAGAAGGTTGTTAAATATTCAAAAAACATATGCCACAGTTCGCAATTTAATCGGTTGGGAGCCAGGTGCAGGTCCAGGTGGAACTGGCGCATTTTGATCCGTCGGATTGGGTGCAACTGCGGGTCCAGGAGTCACAGGAGCCACAGGAGTTCCAGGTGCAACAGGAGGTGCCGCTGGGTCAGCGGGAGCAGGTGGCGAAGGACCCAAAGGCGCCAATGGAACTGATCCTGCAACTGGCGAGGTTGGAGGAACGGGTAGAGCTTGAGTGCCAGTAGCAGGTGGAGCGGCATAAACAGGTGGCACTGGCAGCGCTGGGGAAGCGGCTGCTTAGTTTCCTCCAGCATTTATCACCTTAGTACCCGACCCCACATCTGTGGTGGTGATTTTGTCGTCACTACCGTGGCCTCCTCCGAAATAGGAATTGGAAGTGAGTCCCTGGATGGCGCCACCCACTGCTGCAGCCAAAAGATCAGTGCCTGTTAAATGAAGAAATACCAGATAGTTAGGACCCTGCATACTGAGGATTACTCAATTCTCTTCACGCACCCAATCCCAAGCCTGACGAGGACTTCTGCGGCGCCTCTGGATGGTCAACGTCTCCTGCAGGCAATGCTCCTCCCCCATGATGGGCATTGGTGGAGTTTTGTTGGCTTCTGTACGTTGGCTTGTGTGCTTCGGCAGGTTTGCGGACAAGGGGCATTAATACTGTACTAGCAAATAAGTTGGCGAATGGCTTGATGCCTTGAACTGGATTGAACACCGGAACTGGGCGGGGCGATGGAACTGGTTCATTATAACTAGATCTTGAATTGGATGATCTGTGTGAACTATTGCGAATTCGGCGGCGAACTTTTCCCACTTTAGTTGAGCACGCCTCGGTAGTCAGGGCCACTACTAGGAGCACCGCCACCAGCAGGCTGAGCCGCGTCGAGAAGGGGGTCATTCTGAAATGGACCAAATACTCAATTATAAGCTTGTATGATTTTTTTTAGTGTATGATTATTTCTATGCCTAATCTCAACTTTCTAGCTTTATAGTTCCTGAGATCTTGACGTTCATCCGGACGGCCAGATCCACTTGGCTGTTGATCCTGATCAAGAATATATATACATCATATGGTCGAACACGCTTCCTTCTGCCTGATACATACGTTTCAATCTTTTTTTCGAATCTAGTATACCCCTTTACTCTACGAGTAACGGGTATAAACATAACATTTACAGACCTTATCCTTTTTTTGCTAAGAATTCAATTAATTATGTTTGTATCATGATTCTTGAGGTACGATTTATATATTTTTGCCCATATGTTTTTAATATGTTGTTAGTCTTGCGGGGCTTTATAGGGTATTTAATGCTCGACTACTCCAGGCGGCCTTACTTATTTGCTTCCTACTGCACTCCAATGTCAGTCATCAGCCAGTATGGTCTTATCTTTATGTTTTGTAATGTGCCACATGTTCTGTGGATTTCCCTGAGAAAGATCATAACATCCTTCCTTGGGTTATTCCCTGATTATTCTCCTTTCTTTCGGACTGACGACTTTCGTTATGAACGTTAGGTTGCTTGCTGCCTGTCTTCCATCTTTCATCTTCCATCAGGAATCCTTGCCATGGGTCCTACCCTCCCAGCTTAGAAAAGGCTGATATTCGTGGTTGATATTACTTACGCACTGCTATTGAGGTTAGATCTCGGAATAGACTCCTGTTTAAGGTTTCAGGATGCTCTTCCTCTAAATTAAAACCAATTGGGCAAAGTTTTGGGCAAAGTTTCTTGAACAACTGAGCTGTGGCAGCAAACCAACGCCGTTTTTGTAGGGATCGGATTGCGGACACAGCGGCGACCGCGGGGGCAAATCCAATACGTAGTTGTCACTGCACTGTGCGAAACTTGGTGTGCAGTTTTAGGAAATTTATATTAAAATTTACGGTCCTACTCACCTACTCACCTAAAATTATAACATAGGGCTCGAATCATAGTTTAAACATTTTTGGGATCCCATAGCTACTGAACTTTTTTTTAAGAAAACCAAGAAAACCTAAATATAGTCACTTACTTTTTTTTTGTGCAGTCTGCCACTTCTCTGCACCGTTTTCTCCTTGTACATATTTAAAGTATTTGATTTGAGATATCAGTTTTTTTACTGTTATTTTGAATTATTTTTATAGTGCAATTTCTAGGGAATTTCTGATATCACCCTTTTAATTCCCGATGGAACTTGATCGAATACGTTAAAGATTGAGGGGACAGATTGTACGTTTTTAAAATGGATAACATTCTATGAAAAAACATCTATGTACAAATTATATTGAATCCAATTTTCTAGACTCGTAAAAATGATGTGTGGTAACATTGATTTCTCTAAGTATGGTATGAATTTGTAAATGTAAATAGTTCCCACATCTTCTCCTTGTGCCTTTGCGTAGGCAAAATATCCTAAAATATTCCGGCCTAATATATTTAAAACACAATATACATGTTGCTTATACTTTAATAAAAAATTTGCGTTTTAGTCTTTTAATGTATTCCTTGACAGGAACAGTTCCCTGCCTATTTTTAAATTACACAACCAGATTCCAAACGAGTTCAAATGCTTAGTTGCTTTATTTCACTTAGTTTGAATTCTAAAACTAGTTAAACATAATCATCTCTTGCAGCTACAACTTAGCCACATCGATGGGAGTACCTGCATGGCTGATCTCATCAGCTGCACCGCCTTCTGAACCATCATCTGCTCCACCAATAATATCGCCGGCAACGATGGGTTGCTCAGTGGTCATGGTAGGTTGGAAATTTTCCGGGCTGTGGGGCGGTGCTGGAAAGCAAGCGACCCGTTCCACTTCGCGCGTCACCTCAGGGTTTTCGGGATCTGTTTCGTTTAGCATGACGGGAAAGCAAATGATGCCCCCATCTGGATAGGGTCGAGGAGTCGCCTCCAAATCCGTAAATTCCTCACTGGAAACAGGTTCGCTTTCTACTTCACCTTCGCCTTGCCCCTCCACATCCTCCTCCTCCGTGAGGGGATTTTCAGGAGGAACTACGGCGGAGGCTTCTCCCGAAATAGTGGTTTCGTTGTGCAAAACTCCCTCCCGCTGACCATTGTTGACGATGATGATCTGTCGACCATTTGCCTGGGGCGCCGACTGGCCCTCCTCCGGATTTCTATGGTACGTATGGTGTCGGTGGCCAAACAGAACGTTGTTCATCATGTGGCCCGCCAGCATTCCGGTGAGGAAATCCCCTGTTCCTGTACGGGGTGAAAAAATTAGAGAAAAGTACAATTTTCAAATTTCCACTAAAACTAGAAACGAGACAATGGGAGATCAACTAAATAGCTAATCCTGATTTTCTTTCATTTTTTTCATACGTGATTAACTTTGCAGTTTTAATTGCAATAGGAAACCTAACAGTTTGCTGACTACAACATTGTTAAAGCTATGGCTTCACAAGCTTTGTAGCTTTTAAACCAATCTATCTAGTTTACAATAAGTTTACAATAAGTGTGTGCAGGTAAACATAACATAACTTTTGAGCCAAACCCATGAACATGCAAGTGTTCAAAGCATAAATGGAGTCTTTTATTATATCTTTATTATATCTAAGCTTTTAATCTGGTACTCACTCATTCCCCGATTCATTCCGACGGGCGGTTGGGCGTAGTACACAGCTCCCGCTGGCAAGGCCTGAGCGTTGGCATAGTAGGTTCCGCCGCCTTGGCTCGGAAACGATCCAAATCCATAGCCAGGTGGCGTCTGCTGGCGCGGATAGCTGTGGATCTGCTGCTTGGGCGGCATCATGGGCATCTTTGGTGGTGCCGGCGGAGGCGGCGGTGGTTGTGGCACCGCCATTGCCGTGTGAACTGGCGACCCTGCTCACCGGCTGCGAGTGGGATCCACCTCCATAGCTCAGCCTGACATTATCATGGTGTGGAGCAGGAGCAGCGTGGTGCGATGGAGCTGAGTGCGATGGCGCAGAATAGCTGTGTGAAAAGGTCCTTCTGCTAGAGCTGGAACTGCTACTGCGACTTCTGCTGCCACTAGATTTCCACTTTGCCTGCACATCCTCGGTGGTCAGGGCCTATATTAGGACCTATTTTAGCACCACCACCAGCAGGCTGCCACTGAGCCGCGACGGGTTAGTGGCCATTCTGAAATGCATCAAACACTCAATTAACAGCTTGGTTTAATTATTTAATTTTTTTTATTTTTTTTTTTAATTATTTAATTTATTTTTTTATTTTATTTAATTTTTATTTTATTTCTGGTGCTTGGGCTGTTGGGTGAAACAACATGCCTGCCATGATATAAAAGGGTCTCCCACTTCGCAACCAATATAATGTAGTATCCACTAAAAAACATATCTTAAGTTCAACTTATAAACAAAGCATTTACAGACCCTATCCTATTTCTGCTAGGAATTCAATTCAAAAGGTATTATTATGTTGGTATCATGATACTTGAGTTACGATTTACATATTTTTGCCCATATCTTTTTAATATATTATGTTAGTTTCACGAGGCTTTTTAGGGTATTTAATCGTCGACTTCTGCAGACGACCCTATCTATTCGCTTCCTACTGCACCCCAATGTCAGTCATCATCAGGCAGTATGCTTTTATCTATATGTTTGTGTAAAAAACAATTGATTCAATTCACGCTAATAATAGACACAAATTATGGTTAGCCGAATGATACTTGGTTTCCTGTTAGCTTTTCTAGGTAGTTACAATAAAACTACTCTGCAGTTCTAGCACTTTGCTGTACACTTAAAATATTAAACAATCAGCGAGTGTCATGCCCTGGTTGCCACATTTCCAGGAGGTGGGTACAGTTCGCGCCCACTTTATTAGACCAAATTAGATGCGCGTTATGCGTGTCTTGGGCGGTCCTCTAATGATAATTAACTTGCTGATTTTGGCGGCGTGCCGCGTGTCTACACTCCATTGAGTTTCGCCATCGGGTTTCAAACACACCCAGGCTTTGTTCCAGAACTATAAACACAAGAATTTAAAGGTCAGGTCAGGCCTAAGAGGTCAACGGAAGCTTCCTCTATCGCTAATCATTTTGATTAAGGACTTTACAATCAAGAATCAGACACATATGAACAATATATTTGCTGCATATACTTTTTCACTTGAATTCCGCATTTATAAACAATAGATTTCCGTGCATCATTTGAGTGCTGTAACTTGCGAGTGCTGCTAAACACATGATAAACTGGTTTGATGACTCATCGAACCACTGAACTGCAACGCATGCGCAGCCATGACGTCAGAGGGGAAATTTTGCGGTTCAACACGAAATCGCTTATCATGTTTGTTTACCAACTGTCCTCCACGATTTCTAAGAATTTCACTATGATGCCCTATGATGCCTTGAAGTACAAAGCTTATCGCTAGTGGCAAATAGCAAACACTAAAAGATTAGCGAACCAGTTACAGATGACAGAATAATTTCAACCGAAAACTTCAATAAATTTGAGAAAATCTAAAAAATATCACAATTAATGTACATACACGTATGTATGTTCATTACTTATATTACTCATTACTAGATTAGGTCAGGAAATTGTATGCTAATCGCAGATTCTGATGTCAGATGTCAAAGCACTTCGAGATTATCATGTATTCCAAACGCTGCCAAACGCCTTAATTCAAATGAGTTGTTCAGTAATAAATATATAATAAATAAATATAAATATATAATAAATATGATTCACTATTTACGGAGCCTTTTTAAAGCAGACTTTCAAATATATGGAAGAAGTTCGAAGACTCATTCGAAAAAGAAATAATATTACGGAGCTTTTTTAAAGCAGACTTTCAAATATTATTATATGGAAGAAGTTCGAAGACTCATTCGAAAAAGAAATAACGTGCAAGTTGATTGGGCGTCAAAATCCGGTTAGTTATGTGTGCTTCTGAGTGGGTGGTGCCTCTTGTAAAACATTTTGGCACGAATTGGTTTTATTTGCTATTTGGGCAGCTGGTCTCAAAACTAGATGAGTTTATATAAAATTTTATTTGCCCAACTAATGGGGTGAGGCAACTGTTTATAGAAGAATGATCTAATAGGGATTCGACTGGGCCCTTATCACGAAATTATATGTAATAGTACTTATATATATTTCGTTTTTTTAGAAAACTAAATCATAACTTAGTTTTGTAATTTTTTTGTATAATTTCCAATCCCTCCCTAATGTTTTCCCTTGTCGAAGTATTATACGTCTTGGCTTGGTCCAATTTAAACCCGCTTTTTGCGTGAATTTTCTTAATTGAAGACGTATTTATGTACATATGTATGTACATACATACATAATGTGCTGATTAATCAAAAACATCTGCTTGTTTCATATATGCGAAATAATAAAATCTTGTTTAAAGGAAGAAATCTTTCGCCTGAAGAAGCCAAGTACTTTGTATGGCTTCTGTTAATTTGAACGCAGTTCGTTCCCAAGCAAAATGTTTTCCTTTTGTTTCTCAGTGACCTTCAAGTCGGGCAATGTTTGCAAAAATAATAAATAAGCAAGAGCAATTAATGCTCGACCCAAGCGAATAGCAGTACCTACTGCCTGCACAATTTTGAGAATGCAATATTTGAATTCTGGACATTCACCACTCGCAACGCCCTCAGCTTTAAATGTAATATGTAATAAACCCCAATGTATTCGGATATTTACTCTGATTTCTGAGTATTCCGCTTGCTGCTTGCTGCTTGCTGCTTGCCGCGTGCGATATTCGCTTTGTCTCGTGCAAAGTTTCTCGAACAACTGAGCTGCGGCGCAAACCAGCCACTCGCGTTTTGCGTTTTTCTCGGGAGCGGTTTGCGGCGAGCGGAGCGGCGAGCGGAGCGGCGACCGCGAGAGCGAATCCAACACGTTGTTGGAGAGTCGGTGGTCAGTGCACTGCGCGAAACTTGGTGGGCGCACCCACGTTTCTACTTACCTCAAATTGAATTCCTACCTCCGAAACCTTAAAAATTTAAATGAATTTGTAGTGCCTTTGCGAAGAAAAATGTGTGTATATAATTAGTTTACATTAATATTAATCCAATTAAAATCGTGTCGATGTCTTTACATTTTCTTGAAATTTAAATGCTAACATTATTGGTTGGATCTTTTTAAAAAGAGTGTGGATTTTCTGGAAAGTAAAGCAAGAAGGTTGTTAAATATTCAAAAAACATATGCCACAGTTCGCAATTTAATCGGTTGGGAGCCAGGTGCAGGTCCAGGTGGAACTGGCGCATTTTGATCCGTCGGATTGGGTGCAACTGCGGGTCCAGGAGTCACAGGAGCCACAGGAGCCTCAGGAGCCACAGGAGTGGTGGCTCCACCTCCACCTCCACCACCGCCGGAGTAGGAATTGGAACTCTTCACCACACGGGTGTGGGTGGGTGTGAGTGCGTGACCCAGGATGGCGCCAAGATCAGTGCCTGTTAAATGAAGAAATACCAGATAGTTAGGACCCTGCATACTGAGGATTACTTAATTCTCTTGACGCACCCAATCCCAAGTCTGACGCGGACTCCTGCGGCGCCTGTGGATAGTAAACGTCTCCTGCAGGCAATGCTCCTCCAGCGGGCAGATCACCTCCGACTGGCCATTGTGGGTAGTAGGGGGCTCCATAGGGTACTTGATTAAAATATGGAAAAGGTTCCTCGGGATAGTCAAACCAAGGATAGTAACTGTAATCTGGATCCTGACCCACTTGATTAAAATATGGAAAAGGTTCCTCGGGATAGTAAGCCCAAGGATAGTAACTGTAATCTGGATCCTGACCCACTTGATTAAAATATGGAAAAGGTTCCTCGGGATAGTAAACCCAAGGATAGGGAGTGTAATCTGGAACCTGACCCCCATGATGGTAGGTAGCATTGTGGGCATTGATGGAGTTTTGTTGGCTTCTGTACGTTGGCTTGTGTGCTTCGGCAGATTTGTGGACAAGGGGAATGCCTACTCTACTACTAGTAAATGAGTTGGCGACTGGTTTGATGAGTTTAACTGCCTTGGAACTGTGCAATGGAACTGGTTCATTATACCTAGGTCTTGCATAGGGTGATCTGGGTAAACTATTGCGAATTTCGCGGCGATCTTTTCCCACTTTAGCTGAGCACCCCTTGGTAGTCAGGGCCACTACTAGGAGCACCGCCACCAGCAGGCTGAGCCGCGTCGAGAAGGGGGTCATTCTGAAATGGACCAAATACTCAATTATAAGCTTGTATGATTTTTTTTAGTGTATGATTATTTCTATGCCTAATCTCAACTTTCTAGCTTTATAGTTCCTGAGATCTTGACGTTCATCCGGACGGCCAGATCCACTTGGCTGTTGATCCTGATCAAGAATATATATACATCATATGGTCGAACACGCTTCCTTCTGCCTGATACATACGTTTCAATCTTTTTTTCGAATCTAGTATACCCCTTTACTCTACGAGTAACGGGTATAAACATAACATTTACAGACCTTATCCTTTTTTTGCTAAGAATTCAATTAATTATGTTTGTATCATGATTCTTGAGGTACGATTTATATATTTTTGCCCATATGTTTTTAATATGTTGTTAGTCTTGCGGGGCTTTATAGGGTATTTAATGCTCGACTACTCCAGGCGGCCTTACTTATTTGCTTCCTACTGCACTCCAATGTCAGTCATCAGCCAGTATGGTCTTATCTTTATGTTTTGCCACATGTTCTGTGGATTTCCCTGAGAAAGATCAAACATCCTTCCTTGGCTTATTCCCTGATTATTCTCCTTTCTTTCGGACTGACGACTTTCGTTATGAACGTTAGGTTGCTTGCTGCCTGTCTTCCATCTTTCATCTTCCATCAGGAATCCTTGCCATGGGTCCTACCCTCCCAGCTTAGAAAAGGCTGATATTCGTGGTTGATATTACTTACGCACTGCTATTGAGGTTAGATCTCGGAATAGACTCCTGTTTAAGGTTTCAGGATGCTCTTCCTCTAAATTAAAACCAATTGGGCAAAGTTTTGGGCAAAGTTTCTTGAACAACTGAGCTGTGGCAGCAAACCAACGCCGTTTTTGTAGGGATCGGATTGCGGACACAGCGGCGACCGCGGGGGCAAATCCAATACGTAGTTGGTCACTCGGTGGTCACTGCACTGTGCGAAACTTGGTGTGCAGTTTTAGGAAATTTATATTAAAATTTACGGTCCTACTCACCTACTCACCTAAAATTATAACATAGGGCTCGAATCATAGTTTAAACATTTTTGGGATCCCATAGCTACTGAACTTTTTTTTAAGAAAACCAAGAAAACCTAAATATAGTCACTTACTTTTTTTTTGTGCAGTCTGCCACTTCTCTGCACCGTTTTCTCCTTGTACATATTTAAAGTATTTGATTTGAGATATCAGTTTTTTTACTGTTATTTTGAATTATTTTTATAGTGCAATTTCTAGGGAATTTCTGATATCACCCTTTTAATTCCCGATGGAACTTGATCGAATACGTTAAAGATTGAGGGGACAGATTGTACGTTTTTAAAATGGATAACATTCTATGAAAAAACATCTATGTACAAATTATATTGAATCCAATTTTCTAGACTCGTAAAAATTATGTGTGGTAACATTGATTTCTCTAAGTATGGTATGAATTTGTAAATGTAAATAGTTCCCACATCTTCTCCTTGTGCCTTTGCGTAGGCAAAATATCCTAAAATATTCCGGCCTAATATATTTAAAACACAATATACATGTTGCTTATACTTTAATAAAAAATTTGCGTTTTAGTCCTTTAATGTATTCCTTGCCAGGAACAGTTGCCTGCCTATTTTTAAATTACACAACCAGATTCCAAAGTGTTTAGTTGCTTTATTTCACTTAGTTTGAATTCTAAAACTAGTTAAACATAATCATCTCTTGCAGCTACAACTTAGCCACATCGATGGGAGTACCTGCATGGCTGATCTCATCAGCTGCACCGCCTTCTGAACCATCATCTGCTCCACCAATAATATCGCCGGCAACGATGGGTTGCTCAGTGGTCATGGTAGGTTGGAAATTTTCCGGGCTGTGGGGCGGTGCTGGAAAGCAAGCGACCCGTTCCACTTCGCGCGTCACCTCAGGGTTTTCGGGATCTGTTTCGTTTAGCATGACGGGAAAGCAAATGATGCCCCCATCTGGATAGGGTCGAGGAGTCGCCTCCAAATCCGTAAATTCCTCACTGGAAACAGGTTCGCTTTCTACTTCACCTTCGCCTTGCCCCTCCACATCCTCCTCCTCCGTGAGGGGATTTTCAGGAGGAACTACGGCGGAGGCTTCTCCCGAAATAGTGGTTTCGTTGTGCAAAACTCCCTCCCGCTGACCATTGTTGACGATGATGATCTGTCGACCATTTGCCTGGGGCGCCGACTGGCCCAACTCCGGATTTCTATGGTACGTATGGTGTCGGTGGCCAAACAGAACGTTGTTCATCATGTGGCCCGCCAGCATTCCGGTGAGGAAATCCCCTGTTCCTGTACGGGGTGAAAAAATTAGAGAAAAGTACAATTTTCAAGCGGGATGGGATACAATCGGGAGACTAAACTAGAAACGAGACAATGGGAGATCAACTAAATAGCTAATCCTGATTTTCTTTCATTTTTTTCATACGTGATTAACTTTGCAGTTTTAATTGCAATAGGAAACCTAACAGTTTGCTGACTACAACATTGTTAAAGCTATGGCTTCACAAGCTTTGTAGCTTTTAAACCAATCTATCTAGTTTACAATAAGTTTACAATAAGTGTGTGCAGGTAAACATAACATAACTTTTGAGCCAAACCCATGAACATGCAAGTGTTCAAAGCATAAATGGAGTCTTTTATTATATCTTTATTATATCTAAGCTTTTAATCTGGTACTCACTCATTCCCCGATTCATTCCGACGGGCGGTTGGGCGTAGTACACAGCTCCCGCTGGCAAGGCCTGAGCGTTGGCATAGTAGGTTCCACCGCCTTGGCTCGGAAACGATCCAAATCCATAGCCAGGTGGCGTCTGCTGGCGCGGATAGCTGTGGATCTGCTGCTTGGGCGGCATCATGGGCATCTTTGGTGGTGCCGGCGGAGGCGGCGGTGGTTGTGGCACCGCCATTGCCGTGTGAACTGGCGACCCTGCTCACCGGCTGCGAGTGGGATCCACCTCCATAGCTCAGCCTGACATTATCATGGTGTGGAGCAGGAGCAGCGTGGTGCGATGGAGCTGAGTGCGATGGCGCAGAATAGCTGTGTGAAAAGGTCCTTCTGCTAGAGCTGGAACTGCTACTGCGACTTCTGCTGCCACTAGATTTCCACTTTGCCTGCACATCCTCGGTGGTCAGGGCCTATATTAGGACCTATTTTAGCACCACCACCAGCAGGCTGCCACTGAGCCGCGACGGGTTAGTGGCCATTCTGAAATGCATCAAACACTCAATTAACAGCTTGGTTTAATTATTTAATTTTTTTTATTTTTTTTTTTAATTATTTAATTTATTTTTTTATTTTATTTAATTTTTATTTTATTTCTGGTGCTTGGGCTGTTGGGTGAAACAACATGCCTGCCATGATATAAAAGGGTCTCCCACTTCGCAACCAATATAATGTAGTATCCACTAAAAAACATATCTTAAGTTCAACTTATAAACAAAGCATTTACAGACCCTATCCTATTTCTGCTAGGAATTCAATTCAAAAGGTATTATTATGTTGGTATCATGATACTTGAGTTACGATTTACATATTTTTGCCCATATCTTTTTAATATATTATGTTAGTTTCACGAGGCTTTTTAGGGTATTTAATCGTCGACTTCTGCAGACGACCCTATTCGCTTCCTACTGCACCCCAATGTCAGTCATCATCAGGCAGTATGCTTTTATCTATATGTTTGTGTAAAAAACAATTGATTCAATTCACGCTAATAATAGACACAAATTATGGTTAGCCGAATGATACTTGGTTTCCTGTTAGCTTTTCTAGGTAGTTACAATAAAACTACTCTGCAGTTCTAGCACTTTGCTGTACACTTAAAATATTAAACAATCAGCGAGTGTCATGCCCTGGTTGCCACATTTCCAGGAGGTGGGTACAGTTCGCGCCCACTTTATTAGACCAAATTAGATGCGCGTTATGCGTGTCTTGGGCGGTCCTCTAATGATAATTAACTTGCTGATTTTGGCGGCGTGCCGCGTGTCTACACTCCATTGAGTTTCGCCATCGGGTTTCAAACACACCCAGGCTTTGTTCCAGAACTATAAACACAAGAATTTAAAGGTCAGGTCAGGCCTAAGAGGTCAACGGAAGCTTCCTCTATCGCTAATCATTTTGATTAAGGACTTTACAATCAAGAATCAGACACATATGAACAATATATTTGCTGCATATACTTTTTCACTTGAATTCCGCATTTATAAACAATAGATTTCCGTGCATCATTTGAGTGCTGTAACTTGCGAGTGCTGCTAAACACATGATAAACTGGTTTGGTGACTCATCGAACCACTGAACTGCAACGCATGCGCAGCTATGACGTCAGAGGGGAAATTTTGCGGTTCAACACGAAATCGCTTATCATGTTTGTTTACCAACTGTCCTCCACGATTTCTAAGAATTTCACTATGATGCCCTATGATGCCTTGAAGTACAAAGCTTATCGCTAGTGGCAAATAGCAAACACTAAAAGATTAGCGAACCAGTTACAGATGACAGAATAATTTCAACCGAAAACTTCAATAAATTTGAGAAAATCTAAAAAATATCACAATTAATGTACATACACGTATGTATGTTCATTACTTATATTACTCATTACTAGATTAGGTCAGGAAATTGTATGCTAATCGCAGATTCTGATGTCAGATGTCAAAGCACTTCGAGATTATCATGTATTCCAAACGCTGCCAAACGCCTTAATTCAAATGAGTTGTTCAGTAATAAATGATTCACTATTTACGGAGCCTTCGAAAGAGCTTTTTTAAAGCAGACTTTCAAATATATGGAAGACTCATATATTCGAAGACATTCGAAAAAGAAATAACGTGCAAGTTGATTGGGCGTCAAAATCCGGTTAGTTATGTGTGCTTCTGAGTGGGTGGTGCCTCTTGTAAAACATTTTGGCACGAATTGGTTTTATTTGCTATTTGGGCAGCTGGTCTCAAAACTAGATGAGTTTATATAAAATTTTATTTGCCCAACTAATGGGGTGAGGCAACTGTTTATAGAAGAATGATCTAATAGGGATTCGACTGGGCCCTTATCACGAAATTATATGTAATAGTACTTATATATATTTCGTTTTTTTAGAAAACTAAATCATAACTTAGTTTTGTAATTTTTTTGTATAATTTCCAATCCCTCCCTAATGTTTTCCCTTGTCGAAGTATTATACGTCTTGGCTTGGTCCAATTTAAACCCGCTTTTTGCGTGAATTTTCTTAATTGAAGACGTATTTATGTACATATGTACATACATACATAATATGCTGATTAATCAAAAACATCTGCTTGTTTCATATATGCGAAATAATAAAATCTTGTTTAAAGGAAGAAATCTTTCGCCTGAAGAAGCCAAGTACTTTGTATGGCTTCTGTTAATTTGAACGCAGTTCGTTCCCAAGCAAAATGTTTTCCTTTTGTTTCTCAGTGACCTTCAAGTCGGGCAATGTTTGCAAAAATAATAAATAAGCAAGAGCAATTAATGCTCGACCCAAGCGAATAGCAGTACCTACTGCCTGCACAATTTTGAGAATGCAATATTTGAATTCTGGACATTCACCACTCGCAACGCCCTCAGCTTTAAATGTAATATGTAATAAACCCCAATGTATTCGGATATTTACTCTGATTTCTGAGTATTCCGCTTGCTGCTTGCTGCTTGCTGCTTGCCGCGTGCGATATTCGCTTTGTCTCGTGCAAAGTTTCTCGAACAACTGAGCTGCGGCGCAAACCAGCCACTCGCGTTTTGCGTTTTTCTCGGGAGCGGTTTGCGGCGAGCGGAGCGGCGAGCGGAGCGGCGACCGCGAGAGCGAATCCAACACGTTGTTGGAGAGTCGGTGGTCAGTGCACTGCGCGAAACTTGGTGGGCGCACCCACGTTTCTACTTACCTCAAATTGAATTCCTACCTCCGAAACCTTAAAAATTTAAATGAATTTGTAGTGCCTTTGCGAAGAAAAATGTGTGTATATAATTAGTTTACATTAATATTAATCCAATTAAAATCGTGTCGATGTCTTTACATTTTCTTGAAATTTAAATGCTAACATTATTGGTTGGATCTTTTTAAAAAGAGTGTGGATTTTCTGGAAAGTAAAGCAAGAAGGTTGTTAAATATTCAAAAAACATATGCCACAGTTCGCAATTTAATCGGTTGGGAGCCAGGTGCAGGTCCAGGTGGAACTGGCGCATTTTGATCCGTCGGATTGGGTGCAACTGCGGGTCCAGGAGTCACAGGAGCCACAGGAGCCTCAGGAGCCACAGGAGTGGTGGCTCCACCTCCACCTCCACCACCGCCGGAGTAGGAATTGGAACTCTTCACCACACGGGTGTGGGTGGGTGTGAGTGCGTGACCCAGGATGGCGCCAAGATCAGTGCCTGTTAAATGAAGAAATACCAGATAGTTAGGACCCTGCATACTGAGGATTACTTAATTCTCTTGACGCACCCAATCCCAAGTCTGACGCGGACTCCTGCGGCGCCTGTGGATAGTAAACGTCTCCTGCAGGCAATGCTCCTCCAGCGGGCAGATCACCTCCGACTGGCCATTGTGGGTAGTAGGGGGCTCCATAGGGTACTTGATTAAAATATGGAAAAGGTTCCTCGGGATAGTCAAACCAAGGATAGTAACTGTAATCTGGATCCTGACCCACTTGATTAAAATATGGAAAAGGTTCCTCGGGATAGTAAGCCCAAGGATAGTAACTGTAATCTGGATCCTGACCCACTTGATTAAAATATGGAAAAGGTTCCTCGGGATAGTAAACCCAAGGATAGGGAGTGTAATCTGGAACCTGACCCCCATGATGGTAGGTAGCATTGTGGGCATTGATGGAGTTTTGTTGGCTTCTGTACGTTGGCTTGTGTGCTTCGGCAGATTTGTGGACAAGGGGAATGCCTACTCTACTACTAGTAAATGAGTTGGCGACTGGTTTGATGAGTTTAACTGCCTTGGAACTGTGCAATGGAACTGGTTCATTATACCTAGGTCTTGCATAGGGTGATCTGGGTAAACTATTGCGAATTTCGCGGCGATCTTTTCCCACTTTAGCTGAGCACCCCTTGGTAGTCAGGGCCACTACTAGGAGCACCGCCACCAGCAGGCTGAGCCGCGTCGAGAAGGGGGTCATTCTGAAATGGACCAAATACTCAATTATAAGCTTGTATGATTTTTTTTAGTGTATGATTATTTCTATGCCTAATCTCAACTTTCTAGCTTTATAGTTCCTGAGATCTTGACGTTCATCCGGACGGCCAGATCCACTTGGCTGTTGATCCTGATCAAGAATATATATACATCATATGGTCGAACACGCTTCCTTCTGCCTGATACATACGTTTCAATCTTTTTTTCGAATCTAGTATACCCCTTTACTCTACGAGTAACGGGTATAAACATAACATTTACAGACCTTATCCTTTTTTTGCTAAGAATTCAATTAATTATGTTTGTATCATGATTCTTGAGGTACGATTTATATATTTTTGCCCATATGTTTTTAATATGTTGTTAGTCTTGCGGGGCTTTATAGGGTATTTAATGCTCGACTACTCCAGGCGGCCTTACTTATTTGCTTCCTACTGCACTCCAATGTCAGTCATCAGCCAGTATGGTCTTATCTTTATGTTTTGCCACATGTTCTGTGGATTTCCCTGAGAAAGATCAGACATCCTTCCTTGATTATTCTCCTTTCTTTCGGACTGACGACTTTCGTTATGAACGGTAGGTTGCTTGCTGCCTGTCTTCCATCTTTCATCTTCCATCAGGAATCCTTGCCATGGGTCCTACCCTCCCAGCTTAGAAAAGGCTGATATTCGTGGTTGATATTACTTACGCACTGCTATTGAGGTTAGATCTCGGAATAGACTCCTGTTTAAGGTTTCAGGATGCTCTTCCTCTAAATTAAAACCAATTGGGCAAAGTTTTGGGCAAAGTTTCTTGAACAACTGAGCTGTGGCAGCAAACCAACGCCGTTTTTGTAGGGATCGGATTGCGGACACAGCGGCGACCGCGGGGGCAAATCCAATACGTAGTTGGTCACTCGGTGGTCACTGCACTGTGCGAAACTTGGTGTGCAGTTTTAGGAAATTTATATTAAAATTTACGGTCCTACTCACCTACTCACCTAAAATTATAACATAGGGCTCGAATCATAGTTTAAACATTTTTGGGATCCCATAGCTACTGAACTTTTTTTTAAGAAAACCAAGAAAACCTAAATATAGTCACTTACTTTTTTTTTGTGCAGTCTGCCACTTCTCTGCACCGTTTTCTCCTTGTACATATTTAAAGTATTTGATTTGAGATATCAGTTTTTTTAATGTTATTTTGAATTATTTTTATAGTGCAATTTCTAGGGAATTTCTGATATCACCCTTTTAATTCCCGATGGAACTTGATCGAATACGTTAAAGATTGAGGGGACAGATTGTACGTTTTTAAAATGGATAACATTCTATGAAAAAACATCTATGTACAAATTATATTGAATCCAATTTTCTAGACTCGTAAAAATTATGTGTGGTAACATTGATTTCTCTAAGTATGGTATGAATTTGTAAATGTAAATAGTTCCCACATCTTCTCCTTGTGCCTTTGCGTAGGCAAAATATCCTAAAATATTCCGGCCTAATATATTTAAAACACAATATACATGTTGCTTATACTTTAATAAAAAATTTGCGTTTTAGTCTTTTAATGTATTCCTTGACAGGAACAGTTCCCTGCCTATTTTTAAATTACACAACCAGATTCCAAACGAGTTCAAATGCTTAGTTGCTTTATTTCACTTAGTTTGAATTCTAAAACTAGTTAAACATAATCATCTCTTGCAGCTACAACTTAGCCACATCGATGGGAGTACCTGCATGGCTGATCTCATCAGCTGCACCGCCTTCTGAACCATCATCTGCTCCACCAATAATATCGCCGGCAACGATGGGTTGCTCAGTGGTCATGGTAGGTTGGAAATTTTCCGGGCTGTGGGGCGGTGCTGGAAAGCAAGCGACCCGTTCCACTTCGCGCGTCACCTCAGGGTTTTCGGGATCTGTTTCGTTTAGCATGACGGGAAAGCAAATGATGCCCCCATCTGGATAGGGTCGAGGAGTCGCCTCCAAATCCGTAAATTCCTCACTGGAAACAGGTTCGCTTTCTACTTCACCTTCGCCTTGCCCCTCCACATCCTCCTCCTCCGTGAGGGGATTTTCAGGAGGAACTACGGCGGAGGCTTCTCCCGAAATAGTGGTTTCGTTGTGCAAAACTCCCTCCCGCTGACCATTGTTGACGATGATGATCTGTCGACCATTTGCCTGGGGCGCCGACTGGCCCAACTCCGGATTTCTATGGTACGTATGGTGTCGGTGGCCAAACAGAACGTTGTTCATCATGTGGCCCGCCAGCATTCCGGTGAGGAAATCCCCTGTTCCTGTACGGGGTGAAAAAATTAGAGAAAAGTACAATTTTCAAATTTCCACTAAAACTAGAAACGAGACAATGGGAGATCAACTAAATAGCTAATCCTGATTTTCTTTCATTTTTTTCATACGTGATTAACTTTGCAGTTTTAATTGCAATAGGAAACCTAACAGTTTGCTGACTACAACATTGTTAAAGCTATGGCTTCACAAGCTTTGTAGCTTTTAAACCAATCTATCTAGTTTACAATAAGTTTACAATAAGTGTGTGCAGGTAAACATAACATAACTTTTGAGCCAAACCCATGAACATGCAAGTGTTCAAAGCATAAATGGAGTCTTTTATTATATCTTTATTATATCTAAGCTTTTAATCTGGTACTCACTCATTCCCCGATTCATTCCGACGGGCGGTTGGGCGTAGTACACAGCTCCCGCTGGCAAGGCCTGAGCGTTGGCATAGTAGGTTCCGCCGCCTTGGCTCGGAAACGATCCAAATCCATAGCCAGGTGGCGTCTGCTGGCGCGGATAGCTGTGGATCTGCTGCTTGGGCGGCATCATGGGCATCTTTGGTGGTGCCGGCGGAGGCGGCGGTGGTTGTGGCACCGTCATTGCCGTGTGAACTGGCGACCCGCTCAGCACCCGCCGCCCACCGCCCGACGACGAGGGCTTCTTGTACTTGCGCCAACCGCCGAAGAGTCCGCCAAATGAGCCGCCGCCACGCCCCCTTCCGCCACGAGCCTCGGAGGGCTGAAATGTGGATGCGGCGAGGAGCAGTAGGCTGAGTGCCAGGTACCAGGATTTCATCTTGGCTGCGATGATTTTGAAATGATCTAAGCTGATCGAGTTTTGCGGACGAACTGGAGGCAGGCGGCCTAACTGCGAACCGCTTATCCGAGGAAGGTGGCAAATGCGTGAACGATGCGCTACACTTTGCAGCAAGGGTATATGGGCACATATGTACATATATAGAACAAGAAAATGTACTGAATCAAACCATTTTTATATTTATTTTACTAGTAAATTTGTCCACTAAAACAATTGAGATAATTTTTAAACTAGATCATGCATACGACATGAATTCTGTTAATATCTTAAACATCTGAATTTTTAATTGTAATATTTATTTAACGTTTACGTGTGCAGATATATTAGTACGCTGGTTATATTTAGGATCCAATTAGGGCAGTTGAAAATAGTAAGGCCCAGTCGTATCCGCAGTCACGTCGCATTCGTCTATCAGAATTGTGACAACACTTGCCCGTGGGGCTGAGCCCCTATCACTGAAAATTGAATGAGTGTCGCCGTGTAATAATTCAATTGCCGCTAATTGAGACGAGCTGGCAAAGTTCTCGGATTTTCTTATGGAGCACAGAAAGCAAAATATCATGTTCTCGGCCGAACTTGATGCAACGGCAATTTGCCAAATGTGTCGCATCAAGTTCCATTACGGCAGGAATTGGAATTTTTAGTCAAATCTCGTTGTGGTCTGGGCGATCACAAAAGATAAAAAGATACAGAGATATACGGTGTACTTGGCGCTCGTCACGTTGGCGACGATGACGACGATCGCTCATGAACCTTATGTTGACCCATTTCGAAGGCAATGCATTTGCATCTGCACCTTGAAGACCAGAGGCCATTGGAATCCATCTTTCCGTTGCAAATGTTTAGCATATTTTATAATACATATTTCGAAAATAAGAACTTCATATTTTATTTCGTTTTATTAGCAGAAATTATAAAGTCTGCATTAACAAAGCAAGCTAAGGCAGCCTGTTCAAAACATAGAAACACACTAAGAATTGTAATTATGGCGTTTGTGGACTTCTCAGCCCTAGCAAGTACCTAATGGGTTGGAAAATTACAAATTATTTCATGGGAATTCATTTCAGAATCGCTGTTCCCTGCCAAAGGAATCGTTCAGAAATGCCAATGAGACTTGTGGCCTGGCCAGGAGCACACCGAGTTGTGGCTCGTTTGTTTACCTTATGAACTACTTAGATGTATTCTTCTGCGTATTTCAGCTGCCAACGATATCAACTTATGGATTGATAAGTGCCATCTTATTGATGGCGAACCTAAGCCTGCTCTTCATGCTGACTAAATATTTGTGGGTAAAACAAATAATCACGTTTCCTTCTTAATTTAGCTTAAGCCATTTTCAGTTTCGTGCCAAATTTAGTGGCGCTCATTAAGTTTGCACCTATGACAATGTTTGGATCCAGTTTTCTGTTGTTTGGGCCCATATTTTTTGCGTCCTATTATAACAGTTTCTGGGAAATATGTGATCCCCGAAAACTAAACCTGAGTCCTTTGCAGTTTGCCAAAATGATGGGGGACATAATGCGCTATATTTTGATAGGAGTTATGGTTATTTGCTTGCAGGGCTATCGTGTTGACGGAGTAACGCTTTGGTCCAGCATGTCCTTTATTTTGACTGGAATGATCTACTTGTATATCGTAGTCAAAAAATCATATAATGTTCACCTTATAGTTGCGGACTTGTATTTGATAAAATTTCGGGTGACTGTGTTTTTGTACACTTTTATAATGGTTTTACTGGTGATCTTTGTCGTGTCACATGCTACCTTTCAACGAAGCGAAGTGAAAAGTAAGCAAACTCAGGAAAACTATGAGGAAATGGACAGCGGGGATGAGATTCTGGGCAAATACCAGAAGCAAAGAGCGTTTTCCAGGCGTGAAATTTGGCTGGGGGCAGTGAATGGATATTGGAATATGGCTGATTCAAATGTGATATATAGGGTTACAATGGTGACTATTTGTTTCAATGACTTAAGTCAATTTAAAAAAATCATTTCATTACTTACAGATGCCCGCCTATTTCGTGTTATCTAATTTTATCCCGGTTATATCCAAAGATCGCATTCTGATTGGCTGGAACAAATACGCAAGCTGCCTGGGCTTGGTTATCCTGCCAATCATATGCATGCCTCATGGCTTCAAAGCAGTCAGCTGGTTAATAGTGCTCCTGACCTGTTGGACTCTTAGCATCCTGACCTTTATCTCCACTCATTCTCTGAGGAGACCCGATAATATTTGGATTTTTGCACTGCTAGGAATGATCATCAGCTCGGTGTCCATTAACTTGCTTAGCCGAGAGATAGAGAATATAGCATATCAGTATATAAGTTTGCAGTTTGATGTCCTGCCTGATATGACGGCATTGATGTACTTTGGAGTGGGTGAGATGTTCAGTGAATCCATTGTGGTGCGGTGTCTGCAGAAGAGGAAGATGTGGGATGCCACCTTTGGAGTTGTGATGAGCTTGGTCACCTATGCGATCTTCTTGGCATTTCCACTCCTGTTCTACCAGGGATGCTACAACCCCAAATGCAGTGTGAGTAGATTACTTACTTTTTTCGTTTTTATTTTGGGAACTTTCACTACTTTTATACTTCAGATAATTGTAACATCTGCAACGGAAACGACCATTCATTTTATATTTTTAATCCTGACCACTAGTCTGCTTCACATTTCCTTGAGTGGCTATGAGTTTCGTATGTCCTTGCTGATCTATCTCTTGGTGTTGACTGTTTTTTACGTAACAATCCAGTGGATGACTCACTACAGTTGGATACTTTCCTTGGCCACTCTTCACAAATCTAAAAACAATGGATAGTTAATAATAGCTATAATTTGGTCATTAAGTCTGCAGATTATCACATTATTACTATCACAGCTTTTATAAGCATTATTGCTACTATACATTTCGCTTTTAATTACCATATTTAACCCTATCACCCATATATATGGATATATCTTTAGGAAGACGTCAAAAGTGTTTGCCAAATAAATGAACTTAAATTACCCAATAAATATTAAATTTATATTAAGTCATATTCTTGGACAACTTTCTCCGCTTTTGGCCAGCATAATCGCCATAAATTATCAGCCTATTGATTGCTGCCGTCCGTTTAAACTCAATGCCGACGACGACGTTGTGACCAGAAACACGCACTTGGACCATTTACAACGTTTAGGCCCTTTGAAAGTCATTTATAACGAAATGTAGATGTAGAATCGCACTCGCACTCAAGGAGCATCGAGAAGTGCGTCGTATGTCATCCATAAGAGCTGAAATTAGTTCCGAGAGTCGCCACCGTTCCAAACTGGTAAAATATTTACGAGCTTCGGAGACGTTTTGGGGGAAAACAATCAGAGTTTGGGCCCAGGCCGATTATGAGTAAGTGTGCGGGTGGGTGAGGAGCATAAAAAGTAACTACTTTGTGGCTTATGTGTGGAGTGCCCGAAAATATTGTTTGTCTGTGTGTGTGAGTGTGTGTGTGGGTGTCGAGCGGAAACTAAAACAAAAGCATAGTCTGCTTCTGGGCATTTTCGAAGGTGCCAGAATGCGGGTGGGTGTGTATGAGTATGTTGTGATTGTGTAATAAAAAATATCCAGCTGACATTTTGTGTCAAGCTCCCTTTTTCATTTTGCCACTTCAGTATACTTGTCGCATGACCAAGTCGGCCAACTGAACTGAAGCCATGGAGGAAGTGGCGACTTCGATACCTGAAAATTGGAAGTGTATATGGTTTTCATGTGGGCACAGATCCTGAAAAATAATAAATATTGGAAAATGTTTCGGTTTTTGAAAGTAAGCAGGACTGGCGGCCAATACCTTGAGCACTTGAATGTTATTTAATTCTGCAGTTTTATATTTTTAAAAAAAGAAAAGACAATTTTGCTTTAGGACACAACCTCTTGGTTTAATTATTCAGTTAACAGTGTAAAACCATTTGGCTTTTATTAAGTAATGGTCCCTTCAATGATCTACTATAAAATAGTGTTATTATTTTCATCGAACAAAAGGACTGCGTTAAAACACCAGGTACGTGGTAGTTGGCTCAGTTTTTCACATTTTTTGCTGAGAAAGATTGGGGTGACGTTGGCCCCGGTTCGCTAGCTGCTTGAGTGATGACAAATTACGTTTGTCAGATTTATGACCAATTATGAGCGTGTTATATATCACCCTGCTGAGGAAGGGGCGGTGGGCATGGCCAAATGGCAAGGAGAGCCACCTTAATGGCAAGCGCAATGAATAAGTCGCCGTCGTTTGTTTGCGGTCCACAGCACAGCCACATTTCCCGACACATCGGCGAAGCCCATATAAGTCGGTCTAGGTTTGGTAATGCCAGCACGTCCTTAATGCTATGGCACTGTATCGCATTTCGTACATTTTCTCGCGCCCATTTCGCGTGTCCCAAATCCTCAACTCATCAAAAATTGTGCCGTATTTCTTCGTGTTTTGAGAAATGATTTCGGATTTCTTTGGAGAAATGGGCGAGGCCCGTCGAGGAAAGCAACATATCGCGTGTCTTTATTTTCACACTTTCGGTCGCTATTATTTATGCTTTTAATGTGTTGCAAATGGCCAAAAATCGCTTTTATTACACGCGCAGTTAAACTTCAATTACGGTCGCTAATCATAATGCATATGTCTTGGGTGTTACAGCGAGGGCAGATACACTTTTAGCAGGTATATAAATAAGAAACTAAATGATGCTTGAATGTATAATCTCATGTTTTATTACACAAAGATTTTGGTGATTTTGAACGAAGGTTTTTGCTCTTTGTGTTTTTTTTGGGCTCGTTAGACTTGTGCTAAATTGCTACATTTTATAACAAAATGCTGTTTCTTATTATGAGTCTAAATTTAAAGTTGTGACGAAAGCGAATCACACCTGTTAAATCCTAAGTCAACTCTCGCTCTAAATCATTCCCTCATTTCGCAGTGACAAAACACAGAAGGCGCGTCGAAATATGCAAAAAAAATCAGGAAAACTGCCATAAAATGCGCGGCTAAGTGCGCAAATTAAAATCGAAAACCATAAATTATACAAAAATAAAAACAACTGTGGAAAATCTTCGGGATTGCGGGCTAACAGCTGCAAGCAAAAACAACTGAGCCAAAACCATTTTATGCCTCACTTTACAATTCAATCAGTTTCAATTTCCACCTGCCGAATACATTTCCGTTTTACAGTTTATTTCGGCTGCCGATTGCCCAATGCGGCCGGCTGTTTGTAATTTTTTAATTTCGACTTGAATTTCAAAATTCAATTAGTTTGCGCCACGCACACCCCCAAGCCCACACACACACAGACGTATACATATCCAGCTTCAGACAGGAAGGAACCAAGGCATAAAACCGTTAGCTCACAGATCCTCTGAAATCGAGGGAGCCAGCTGGGTGCTCCACACCGCAGATGTCCGCCTGTGTCTGCTCTGGCATTGTTGGTTTCACTTTTTAGATTTATGCTTTTAGATTTTAATGAAAAGCCACATTTATGTAGATGCCTCCACACTTCCAGAAGCGAAAAGTTATAGACTGAATGGGCGGCAGAGACGGGGGAGCCCGAGAGAGATGCAAATTTTGTGGTCCGGGGCTTGGGGCGGCCCAATTTAAGCCCCATAACTCAGACCGCAGCGTTGGAGAAATTAGTTCAGCCCAGGGAGTTGCTCCTGCTGCTTATCGAACGTGGGAATCAAAGATTTGATTTGTGACTGGGCTACAAAAAATGGCAAACTGCCTGCCAAAGTCAAGAAGAATATTCAATTTAAACACGATCTGGCTGGATAAAGTCTAAAAATTGTTCACTTTTTAGTGAAAGTATATTAAAAAAGCACTGGCTGAAACTTTATTGCAAATAATTTGAATGAATTCGAAGCTGTAATCAAAGGGTTTATGCGGAATAAACTAACATGCCATTTCACTTCTTTAAAATTCAATTTACCGAAATTACTTGAAATAATTACGCAGAAAAAGGATAGAGTTTGTGGCCAACTCGGTTAAAATATAGAATGAAATAATAGGCCTTAAATTCCCCTTAGTTATTTTGATTTATATACATTTTTATTTATGCCACGCTTAGCAAGTTCGCATTTATGGAGTGCTCTACATCGCTATAGTCTACGAAACGTTGGTTTTAATGATTGCTGCCAGGTCCTCGAAAGCACTCATTAAAAATGGAGCCAATATAGACCATGATTCATTTCAATAATCACCGTAATTCAGGCGATGAATTCGCACTTGAAAAACAATCGACTGTCTGCCAATTAGGGGGAATATTTGAAAGGGCATACGGCAAAAGCCGACTGTGTTTTATATATATGATTTCTTTTTGCAGCTTTTGTTGCCTTTTTGCGCGCGCAAACAAGCGGCAATATCTACGGTCATCCAGTCGCTTGTCCATCTATCTACGCGCAACTGTTGCTGCTGCCAACTGCGCGGCAGCAGCAGCAGCAACATTGCCATTTGCAACAGCATTGGAAGCGCGTAAGCCGCCAGCAGATAGTGGGTAGCGGCAAATAAACATTCAAGGATATGAGCCACGCCCACTCACACGCACACGCCATCGAGTGCGCTGTGCAAAAAGTGTAGCATACAACTCAGGGCGGCTCCATCAGCCGCATCTGCTGCTGCTGCTGCTGCTGCTGTTGCTGCTGCTGCCCCACTGCTGCATGGCAACTGCACATTACCGTTCCGTAGTTTTTCATGCATTCATTTGGATAGTTAGCCAGGCAGCTGGCAACTCCCTGAAAATATGGCCCCTACATGGACAGTCCGCCGAAGTGAGCCAGGCATTAAGGACTTTTCAGGACTTGCACAGTGGACAAGTAGGCTGTCGAGGAGAGTATTTTCAGAAGTTAAAAATGCCTTTTAATGAAAATGATTGTCTTAAATCTATAAATGATTCTTGATCATAGCAAGATTCGATTTGTGATTTAGCTCTATAACTATACTTGCTCTTAGCTTGATACCTTTGCTGAATTAAGTACGTTTTCTGTGGAAACCACTTAAAATAGTGTTTAATTTGGCTAAACATAGGCTTTTTATAGGAATATAAAAGTAAAAGAGGAGTTACAACACGGCTTTAATTGAATTAACTGAATTTGTGTAAATATTCCAATGAAAAGGAACCCAATTCCACTTAAGCGGAATTGAAATGTTCCAGCGAATTTCGCCGGCCACATAATAGCTGTGGCCAGTGTTCGGCTGCTGGGGATTGGTTCATCTGATAAATAAGCACACGTCTGTACGTACTGCCTGGTGTCCCTGGAGTCCCTGCTTCTGCTCCTGTCCCCGTATCCGTGTCCGAATCCGTCTCCGTCTCCGCGCCCGTCCCGCTACTCCGGTGTCTCCTGTTCCGGCGCGAGAATGTGGCCCCCATGTGTGTGTGCCGTGGCCTGGCTGCAACTTGACCCCGGGTCAAATGCAACAAGATGCGGTACCTCGAGTGGTGCTGTAACGGTTGCTGCTGCCGCTGTTCTTGTTTCAGCCGGTGTTGCAAATGAAATTTTTCTTCAATTAGTTTATTTTCACACCAATGATTTTGATTTCAGGTCCGATGCCCAGCCCAATCCGCCCTGTTTGCTGTTATTGTTGGCGCTTTTCCAGCATCCTTCTGTTAACGAGTGTGTGTATGGGTACGTGTATATGTGGGGCAATTAAGGCGCGCGTAATTGTTGCCAGTTGTTGGATGCTGGATGCTGGATGATGTCGATGCCGATGCCGATGCCGATGCGATGCCAATGCCGATGCAGATGCCCATGCCACGGCAGCGATGCAACAATATCATTCCGGCCAAGTAAAGTCCGGCCATTTCTTGCTGAACATTGAGCATTTTGTTGCGAAGCGCACATTTTCGATTGCCTTCCACTTGATGGACCGTCGAGCGTCGAGCGAAATCGGAAAATGAAAAACTAAAATGGAAGAGAAAAAATAACGAGGCAGCTGGAAATGACTGAAGTGGTAGCCAATTTGAGGAGTGTACATGCATAAACATGGAATCAGAGTGCCAGAGGATGGCAGGTAGCACCCATCACATTACCTTTAGTTGCTGGCCCATTACGTATACGCCACGTAAGGCGGCAAGAATGAATTGGATTTGTCAGCGTGTGTACAACTTAGAGATACTCGTATCAGCAAGAAAAGAACCTGCCATATTCCAGAAATGAGCATGCGATACACGTGCTGCCGCAATTTGTCACATGAGCCTCTAAAATATGCCCAAGGGTGTTTCGAAAAGAAAGCCTTCAGCTCCACCACATACTCTTCGTACAGCTCGGTAATTGTGTTTTAAAAACCAATTTCTCTAAAAAAGTAACCACAAGTCTTAAGGAAACACAGGGGAGAGAAAAAATCGCAGCCCTACTTTTAAGATATTATTACATAACTTAAATAACTTACCTATTATTTTCTTTTAGCAATTAAAAAAAGAAACTAAATTCATTTTTTGCATGCTAAAATCATTAATTTTGCATTTATTTTTAACAATTTTATTAACTTCAAGTATGATGCACTTCAAGAGATTTCGCAGCTCAGAACCGCCCACAGAAGCAATACACATTTAGATGGCAGGCAGCTTAGCGGTGAAAAAATATGAAGTCTAGCTAAGATTAGATGATTTTTCAAGATAAAGGCAGAAAGTTCGTAGGCACTTTTCGTAGCCAAGGAAGAGAAGTACGGATGTATGTATTTAAATGAAGCAATCAATAAAATGCTTACAGAATTCCATTTGAACTGTGAATGATTTCAATTTGGAATTGCGTTGGGTCCTTTGCGTTTGACTCTCGAATTTAAATGTAGATCTGCGTATTTACATTTCTTTCAAACAAACAGCTGGTTTTTGTTTTGCACAAACACACATGGCGTAGACACCGACATAATTTAATTTCACATGCCCTTGCAGCGGTAAACTTTTGTGCCTTTGCCCTCGCGTCTCATTTGCAAATTTAAGTTATGTAGATTATAATTAGAAAAGTTTTGGCCCCAACAAAAACTTTGTTTACAGCCAACACCAGGCCCGCCCGCCATTTCCCGCCATTTTCCTGCTTGCCGCTCGTAAAGTCATAAAGTTATAGGTAAACGCTTACGTGCATTGCCAAAAAGCTTTTCCAGTTCCGTGAAAGGCGAATGCCTGGGGCCGCTGGGCAATTTGAAAGGGCCGACTAATTAATTACCACGGTATTCAAAAAGGTTTCCGTACTTTTGGCCATTTGAAAACACAAAACTCGCATTGAGCAGTATGAACATCATAAACGACGCGCAATACGAAACTAATCACTTTTAATTGGCCATGAAAAAAAGAGCCAACAATTCAAAAAGAAAGCTATTGAAAGTAATATCCGGTGTTTGAAATTCGAGAAAGTTTTGCTTAGAAGCCGCCAATGAGTTTATGACCCAGAAAAGCTGCGAAATGAACACCGAAGATGACAAGTTTCAAGTTTTTGAATTAATGTCAATTAGGGAGTGGCTGAACTTAAATACAAATTGTTGCTAAGCAGACATTCGTTAATAATCACATATTTTTAATTGGCTTCTTTAAAGAGTCCTTTTATTTAGATTTTATTGCCATTGCTTTTCTGAATATATTCACTGCTATTTAAATAAATGCGTTTTTCCTGCTAATGCTTTTTATATTTTATTTTCAAATAATTCAAAGGTGTGACTTTTTAGGCTAAAAAACTAAGGGATTTTAAAGTAGTAATTTACATGCCACTTTTGCTTATGCACACTCTTGCAATTGCTAGTTTTTTATCTGCTCTAAAAAAGGCCCCAAAAGCCGCAAAACAGGCCAACAAAACAGTCGAGATATTCATTACGTATACGACGTGTGTGCAGACCTTTGTTATTGGCATTGTCTGCTCGGTGCGCTGATTTACAACAGTTTTTATATATTTTTGTTGTGTATTTGGCATCATGTTTTTGGCGTGTATTTTGCACCTCACGTGTTTGTCGATTTTTTACGACTCACGTGCACCCATAAAATGGCGAGCTTGCTGTGTGTCTGTTCGAGTCGTGTTAATTATGCTTTTAAGCAAATTAGCCGGTGCATTGATATACGCGAATAATGTGAAATCGATTTTGGCGAGCAAGCCAATAAATTACCCACAGAACAAGAGCAGGCGTCAAAACAGAAAACAGAAATCAACAAACAAAAAACAGGTGCCAACATGTGTGTAAATGTGCGCACTTTTTACGCTTTGCCACAAAGGAATGCTTAAAGCCAGGCTGATTCTTTAATTTATTTCACATTTTTTATTTACTGCTTGTTCGATTTTTTTATTTGGTTCTTGTGTGCCAGCCTAGCCATTTGATAATTACAAAGGAAATCCTATTAGCGGCGCTTATTTATGCTAATTTCGTTATTTTGCTTAATTTTTAAAACATGAGTGCCCTGTTATCTGTGATGCAGGAGCAGAAAGCACGTCGCGGGGGCAGCAGTCTTTAATTTCATTTAGCGTCTCTGACAGCATTTCAAAGGTGGCCCAGCACGCACCATTCAAATTAGGCAACGCGTACATTATAATCTTCTATTGGACGGAGGATGCGAGGTCGAAGGACGGACAGGTGTATCCTGCTCACCTGTTCATTCGGGGCGTCCGTGTCGCCCCCAATTATGTCACATGCGCACTGCGTCTTCATCTGCGAGACGTGGAGCATAACAATCACGATACACACGACCAAGATTGCCATCTATTGGGGGCAAATGCCCTCTGCCACTTAGGCCCCTGCCCCGCCATTCAGTGTCCTTGGCCAATTTCTGTTGGATTTTTACCTTTCTCACTTGATGCGATAATTTGGTGACATGAATAGATGGGAA